TCAATACCCTTCTATGTGCGCATCATCTTGAGCATCTCAGGAGGGTTACACACCATTACTGATTCCACACCTATCTTCTCACTCCCTTCCTCTCTCCCCACTCCGTTCCCCCTTCCACAGCACAATCTTCACCAGTTTTCCCAGGCACTCACAGCTGTTTAATGCCCTTCTCTGAGCGCATCATCTTGAGCACCTCGGGAGGGTTCTACACCACCACCCACTACCTCCACAACCCGGCCGCTCTTCTCCCAACGGCATGCAAGATTCCCAGGTCCCCACTCACCAGATGTTTGATGCCCTTCTCAGTGCGCATCATCTTGAACACATCGGGAGGGTTGTAAGCCACCACCCGCTTTACACAGGATGACAATCCCCCTCCTTATCTCCCCCCCCCCACACCACCCCTCCCGCACCATAAGTGCCAAACCTAGGCAAGAAACAGGCAGGCACTCACCAGCTGTTTGATGCCCTTCTCTGTGCGCATCATCTTGAGAACCTCGGGAGGATTATAAGCCACCACCCGTTCCACCCAGTACAAATCCACATCCGTCCTCTCACACACCTCCCCGCCCACATCACACATCTTCCCAAGGCTCCCCTGGCACTCCGTAGGAAACGCCGGCAGCAGCCGAACCACCGCTAACACCGTCTCAAACAGCTCTTCTTTCGCTGCCTTTTCCTCCTCCGGCTTGCCCTGAAACGGGTCACGCTCGCGGGGGCCCAGACGCCCGTCGACCTTTTTTTCCCACCAGGAGATCAATTCCTGCAGCTGCATTTTCAGCAAGTCCCCGTGCTGTGCTGCTGCCCTGCGTCTGCGGGTCTCTGCCTCCTTCTCCTCCTTCTCCCATTTCGCCACCACGTTTTCCCCTCTCGCTACAGGACTCACATCCCCATCGCCCCCCTCTCCTTGCCCCTCCTCCTCTCCTGTTTCGCCCCCACCTTGCCCCCCCCCCGCTGCCCCCTCTCCCCCTTCCTTCTGCTCACCCGCCGCTTCACCCCCGTTCTCCCCACCCTCTCCCCCATCCATGCCCTCTTTCAGCAGCAGGGCCTTCACCCCAAAAAGCATCTCCACCTGTCGAATCGACTCATGGATCGACCTGAGCGCCCTGTAATGCAGAGGCTCGAGAACTTTAGGCTGTGATCCAAGAAACGCGTCTGAAGTGTCCCCATCGTCTTTTTCCATGTCTTCATCCTCGTCCTTGCGAGCTGTTTTCCTGCGCTTGCTTCGCCATAGGTTAGGCAGGGAGTGCTCTGGAAGTGAGTGCTTTTGAGACTGCTGCTGCGGCTTCTGCTGCTGCGGTTGCTGTTGCTGTGGTTGCTGCTGCTGCTGTGGTAGCTGCTGCTGCTGTTGTTGCTGCAGCTGCAGCTGCTGCTGCTGCTGTTGCTGCTGTTGCTGCAGCTGCTTCTGCTGCTGTTGCTGCTGCTGCTGCTGCTGCTTCTTCTGCTGCAATAGCATCTGTTGTTGCTGTTGCTGCTGCTGCTGTAACATGGGGTGCGGCTGCTGTTGCTGCAGCAGCACATGCTGCTGCTGTTGTTGGCGCGGCATACTGTTCTGCTGCTGCTGCTGTGAAGGCACCTGATGCTGCTGTTGCATCTGGTTGCCTTGAACAGTCAACTGTTGCTGTTGTTGACGCAGCGTACTGCTGTTCTGCTGCTGCTGCTGTGAAGGCACCTGATGCTGCTGGTGTTGCATCTGATTGCCTTGAACAGTCAACTGCTGCTGTTTCGGCTGCTGCTGCTGCTGTCTCAACTGCTGCAGCAGTTGCTGCTGCTGCTTCCACTCCTGCATCTGTTGTTGCTGCCTTTGATACGTCTGCTGCTCCTCGCGAATACGTTGCGCCTGAGATAAGGTTGCATCTTGTTCCTGAACACGCCCTTGTAGCTGCTTCAGCTGCAGCTGCGATGACTGCGTCTGTGGTTGTGTGTGTGGCTTCTTCAGCTGCTCCCACCACTGCTGCTGCTGCTGCTGCTGCTGCTGAGTAGGAGGTTGCTGAAGCTCCTGTGGTTGCTGCGGCTGTTGCTGTTGGGTCGCTTGTGGTGGGAAGTGGGGCGCAACGCCTTGCTGCTTCTGCATAGGGTGGCCTAGCAAGAGTTGCTGAAGGTTTCGTGGAAGCTTGAACCAGGGATGATCTTGCTCCTGTACCTGCTGCTGTTGGTTCGGCTGCTGCTTCTGTCTCTTTGGCTGCCCTTGCTGCTGCCCCTGGTGCTGTTGGTGCTGCTTCTGTTTCTGCTGCTGCTGCCCCTGCTGCTGCTGTCGCTGCTGCTGCGGCGGCTGGAGCGGCTGCGGCGGCTGGAGTGGCTGCGGCGGCGGCTGCTGCAGCTGCAGCTGTTGTTGCGGCATATGCATACCATGCAGGCCAGACAACGGCTGAGGCGACGTGAAATGCTGCTGCAGATGCTGGTGCTGTTGAAGCTGCTGATGCTGTTGGTACTGCTGTTGCCATAGCTGTAACTGGTCTAGCTGCGCCTGCTGCTGAGGCTGCATCATTACCTGTGGACTCGCCTGCTGCCGGCACTGCTGCTGCTGCTGCTGTGGGGACAAAGCCGGCACCGGATTTCCCTGCTGCAGCAAACTGTGTTGTTGCTGCAGCTGCGGCTGCATTATATGCTGATGCTGCTGGGGGAATAGAGCTGGCGGCTTGAGACTCTGCACTGGACTTTGCTGCTGCACCAGCCTGTTCCGTTGCTGTTGCTGTTGCTGCTGTTGCTGTTGCTGCTGTTGCTGCTGCTGTTGCTGTTGCTGCTGTTGCTGTTGCTGCTGTTGCGCCTGCGCCTGCGCTTGCTGCTGGGTCTGCGCTTGCGGCTGGCCCTGCTGCGGTTGCTGCAGGGTGAACTTGCGTGGCCCTGCCAAACCTGGCTGCTGCAACAGCATGTTACGCTGCTGCTGCTGCTGCTGCTGCTGCTGCTGCTGCTGCTGTGGTTGCTGTTGCCGCTGCTGATGCTGCTGCGATTGCGTTTGTTGCTGGCCCACCACCGGCTGCCGAACCTGCGGCTGCAACAGCCGGTTCCGCTGATGTTGCTGCAGTTTCTGCTGCTGCGGCTGCTGATATTGCAGATTGTTGACGGGCTGGTTAACTTGCCCGACGGCTGACGGCTGGCCGGCTTGTTGCTGTCCCTGATGCTGTCGGCGTGCCTGCACTGTCGCTCCCTGCTGCAAACGTCCTCCCTGCACTTGCGGTGCTCCGTGCAATAGCTGTGCTCCCTGTGCGCCTTGAACTTGCGGAATCTGCGCCTGAGGCACGGGGCTTCGAGATGGCACGTTCTGCCTTACCGATCCTGCCATCATAGGACCATGCGTGGCCGGCGTGGCCGCCTGATGCGGTAAGTTCTGATGCATCAACGCCGAGTGGCCGATCCTTTGGGTCTGCAGGTTCGGAGGTGCTGCTGTAGCAGGGCTGATCCGCTGAGAGGGTACGTTCATCAGGGGTGCTTGCGGGGCCTGAGCGACCCGCGAATGCGGTAGAGCTTGATTTCCGCCTTGATTTGCCGGAAACGACGCGGCGATCTCCTGAACTCCCGGATTTGCAGGAGCCGGTGCGGTCCGAAAGGGTGACACACGGTTTGAAGGAACGGAGTTACGAGATGGATCCATGGTGCCTGTCTGCTGTCCTTGCGACTTATAAACCCGAACAGGTTTGTCTGTAAGATCTGAGACAACGCTCTGCTCAGTTACGAACGACACTTCTATGGTTTCTACGCACCTTAAGCCTAGGTTAGTATGGTAGCCATCTAAACAGAACTAACTAAGCGTGTGCGCTGTGGGAAGCGAACTGAGCCTGAGCAGGGTTCGAAGATACTCCAGAACTAGAACTGAGGAATGGATGAATCAGGATTCAGGAATCTCACAGATATCCACCGCTGCTGCAAACTCGAATCAAGCAGGCGTCCCATATTCCCGTCTGAACATGCTTCCGGAAGTTTCTCGTAAGTGCATCGTTTGCTCGTACCTCAGCCTGCTCTGTGCCTACGGTGTTGAGTCCTAAAGCACTAAGACGTTGGATTCTCAAGTTAATAGCGTTCCTAGCAAGGCGATCATTGTGAGGAAGGAATCTAGGAACTCAGCAGCTAAGGAAAGTCCATGTCCCGACGTCACCAAGTCTGCATTACTGCTGTAAGTCATTTGAATCTACCGTTGCCCTGGGTGAAAATCTCTCAGGATTCCCTCCCAGAATAATCTGGTTTCAGGGGTTGCCCGATGGTGATGCTGTTTGTGGTCATCCAGAAGCTCAACACCATGCCCCCTGTCGTAAAGGACAAGCTCGAGGGGCGAAGTGCTGGACGAGTTACATTTGCGAAGACACAATCTGTCACCTGCGGATGGTTACCGAAGCTGGCGTTGTGACGAGCATAGCCTCGCGATAGACAGGGGTCAAATTTGCGAAACCGAGTTTCGCACACTTGCCTTTCAGGAGCGCGGGAAACTCCTTGGCTTGAACCATGTCAGAACTGGGAAAATCTCGAGGTGCAGTTGTTCCCGATATTCCCTGACACAGATGGTCAATCTCGTCCACACGATTCAGATCACGGAAACTTGCCGACATGATCCGTTTGATTTACTCCGATATGAGATCCCCTTCCGTCAGTGAGAATTCAGGGCGGAATCGGCGAAAGCATTCAGGGATGGCATTGATAGGAGTTTGCCCGTGTAAGGCTGGGGATTAGCCAGTGGAAATATGGAGTCTCTCCATTACGAATCCTCGTCGACTAGGTTTTGATACCTTGCTTCACAATATCCACGATGCATTTAGAGGCGGTTTCAAACCTTGTCTTCCAGTAAAAGGCTTTGAAACCTAGGCCTTGCATTCATTCTAGTCGCGAAGGAATCCAGTTTTATACTAGGTCACTGTCAACCTATTCCGCGCGGAAGAAAACTCCTGGTTTTGTCTTCCAGTAGAAGGCGTTGAAACCTAGGCCTTGCGTTCCTTCTAGTCGCCAAGAACTCTAGAATCATACTAAGTTGTCAACCCGTTGTTGCACGCGGAGTATCTTGGTCTCGAGCCATGACGTCAGCTCCTTCTCAAGATAAGTTCATTACCGGACAGCGAGTAGCTCTTAAGGAGCCCGAAAAGGGCCTCCGTTACGCGCCGCGTGGCACCGTGCGATACGTCGGACCCGTGGACGGTCACAAGGGCGAGTGGGTTGGCGTAGAGTGGGACGATCCTTCGCGAGGAAAGCATGACGGAGTGGTAACCGGGAAACGTTACTTCCATTGCGAAATGGTCCCTGCTGGCACGCCAGCCGGATCGTTTGTGCGACCGCAAAAGCTGACTGGAGGGGTCACTCTGCGTGATGCATTGCTGGACCGCTATAACACAAGCGGGGAGGACTATAAAGGTGCATATTCTTTCTCGCATTGAACAACGATGCCCATTTCGCGCATCATTACTCGTTGCTATATTACAGGCCATTATTCCAAGGTGGAAATTAATTTGATTTGACGTATTCAGTGTTCCTTTCTCACATAGCATCTGCATATTTTCGTATCTTGCATCGATCCACTCTACAGCGGAGCCCATTTACAGGGCTCTAGGCCGGCGAAGGGCCATGGTGATCGAATTCGTGTCTGCTCCAGCGAATAAGAGTGGAGCAGATAGGGCTGGAGAAGGAATCGATACAGCTGTGCTGGGGAATGATAGAGACGCATCTGGCGGAGTGGGGGGATCTGAGGAAAAAGGGACTCAGGATGAATCAATGGGAACGAATGGAGGCATGTTGGGTGGAAGAGAAGGCAGGGAAGAGGACAAGGGCGAGCCGCCCAAGAGAAACGGGATGTGGCTGTCTCGTCTCCAGGCTGCAAACGTGTCGGAAGTGCCTGTGGGGTCGGTGGGAGCTGTAGGGGAGGTCGCAGCTATTGCATGTGAGTGCTTGCGGCTTTATTTGTTAAGCTCCTAGAAAATTGTCTTCAGGGTGCAAACGTGTCGGAAGTACCCGTGGGATCGGTCGGTGGGAGCTGCAGGTGAGGTGGCCGCTATCGCATGTGAGTGTGTGTTGCTTGTCCCTTCTGCACGCAGTGGCTGATGCGTGTTTCGAGGCGTACTGCTTGTGGATACTTGCCATTTCCTCCTACCCAGAGTGCATGCGTGATTTGAGAGTTCATAGCATGTGCTGCCTCCATTCTACTCTCTTGATATCCCATTACCTCCTCAGGTCAAATTTGAGAGAGGGCCTCCTTGCATTGCATGTGCTGCGGCCATTCAACCGTCTCAGTGCTCTCTTCTCTTTGCTTCTCGTCTCAGTGCTCTCTTCTCTTTGCTTCTCGCCTCAGTGCTCTCTTCTCTTTGCTTCTCGTCTCAGTGCTCTCTTCTCTTTGCTTCTCTTCTCTTCCTCTGCATCCGTCTCCCCCAGCCCTGACAGAGCTTGACATGTCATACCACCTGCTCAACACCTGGCACGAGGTGCAGAGGGTAGGGGAGGAACTGCCAGGCCTCACAGCCCTGGACATCGGCCATTCCAGACTCTCCTTCCCTTCGTTTGTTGGAGTCTCGCCTCCTCCTCCTCCTGCGCTCTCCGTCTCTCCGTTGGCTGCGCTAAGGAAGCTTGGGCTGAGCAACACACGGGTCACATGGGCCCAGGTTCGTGGGGCACGGGTGAACGTGAAATATCTTTTCTTTTTAGACGCCTCAAAATCCCCCCCGTCTCTCCATTGGCTGGGCTAACCAAGCTTGGACTGAGCAACACACGGGTCACATGGGCCCAGGTACGTGGGGCACGGGTGAACGTGAAATATCTTTTCTTTTCAGACGCCTCAAAATCCCCCCCGTCTCTCCATTGGCTGGGCTAACCAAGCTTGGACTGAGCAACACACGGGTCACATCGGCCTAGGCATGAGGAGCACAGCTGGAGGTCTCCTCTTTCTTCTTCCAGCCCCATTTTCCTTCCAAAATTCTTTCCTATATTTCTCCTCAAATACTTACCAGTTTCCCTCCAAATCTGCTTCAACCGCTCCTTACCCCTGCCCAATCTCCTTGCTTCAACTCCCCATTCAGGTGGAGGAACTTTCACGGCAGCTTCCCCTACTCGAGACCCTGGTTCTGATTAAAAACGAGATCTCAGGACTGCGACCCAGCTCTGGTGCCGATGCCAGTCGTGCTCCTCTGGACTGCCTTCAGGTGAGAAAGCAGGCAACTTCTGAGTTGTCTCAGTAGCCTCCTCGAGACCCTGGTCTCAGGAGTTGTGCCAGTTCCGCCTCTCCTTACAGTGGCCCATCGTCATTGCAGCTTACTGCATTCTCCTTGTCTTAACAGGCTCCTGCCGACCCTTTTCTCTCCAACCCCCTGCTGTCCTCCCCTCTTCTCCACCTTCTCCTCTTCATCCCCTCCCGTCCCAACCCTCCTCTCCAACCACTCCTGTCGGCCCCAGCGCCCCTCACAGCATCTGACCTACCTAGACCTATCTGACAATCGCATTGCTCACTGGGACGATTTTTGAGGCGCCTCAAAGATCCTCTCACTGCATCTGACCTACCTGGACCTATCGGACAATCGCATTGCTGACTGGGTGCCACTGTTCCCCCTCTCCCTTTTCTTTCTGACCTGCCTTCACTGCAACTTGTGCTCATTAAACCAATTCACTCTCACTCCCCTTCCCCCTCACAGCACCTGACGTACCTGGACCTATCGGACAATCGCATTGCTGACTGGGCCCAAGTCTCCTTCCTCTCAGCCTTACCTTCGTGAGTGCCGCTGCTGCCACTCCTACATCAACACCAGCACTAGCACTATCACCGTCGCCAGCCACAGCACTCCTGTGCACCCATCACAGCACCTTTCTCTCAGCCTTACGCTTGTTGAGTGCTGCTTCTGCCACCTCTGTGTTGTGTTGCTGCTGCCGCTTGTGCTGCTTATACGTCTTCTTGCCACTGCTGCGGCTCATGGCTGAGATTTCGCACCAGCATGTGCCTTGTTATGCGTTCTCCTGTATTCTTTGCTCGTTCTGCTCATCCTGCTGCAAGGTTTTTGTAACCTCCCCTGTTCTCTCGCTCATTCTCCTTTTTGCCCTCATTCTCCTTTTTGTCCTCATTCTCCTTTTTGTCCTCACCTCATTTCGTTCCTCTTGTTCCTCCTTGCTCCGTGAACAGCTTGAAGTGGCTGCTGCTATCAGGAAACCAAATCACCAACATCCCAGGGAATGATGGCTCGCCTGCAAACGCCTCTACCTTTCACAACCTGCACCATCTTTCATTAGGTACGCACTTTTGCGAGCTCTCATAATTCACTTACAAGATCACTGGTAAGACTTCAACCAAAGATGAATTTGATTTATGCGCATTGCCTGAAATTGTACCTGTGCACATGCGTCATACTCCTCCCTCCTTGCCTGATTCCCAACCCAGCTGACAACAACATGTCTCAGTGGTCGTCCGTATATGCCCTGGCCATCACATGCTTTTCAATGTCATGCAACACAGCTTGAGTCAACTTGAACTGCTACCTGTGTGTGCACTCCTCCCTCTTTCACCCCATTCCCAACCCAGCTGACAGCAGCATGTCTCAGTGGTCGTCCGTATATGCCCTGGCCATCTCATGCTTTTCAATGTCATGCAACACAGCTTGAGTCAACTTGAACTGCTACCTGTGTGTGCACTCCTCCCTCTTTCACCCCATTCTCAACCCAGCTGACAACAACATCTCTCAATGGTCGTCCATAGATGCCCTGGCCATCACATGCCCGAACCTCAAGGTATGGCACATGTTTTTCCCCAACATCACATTCCCGAACCTCAAGTACAATGTCCAATCTCTCTTCTCAAGTTCTACAATACTTTGGATTTCTCCAATCTCAACTTGAAGCTTGCCGACAAAATTTTTATTTTTCAACCTTGCTTCTACCTTCCCTTCAACCTGTCTCTTTCCCTTTCATCTCTCCCCTCTTTATCAACATCCCAATCTATTCTCTCGCCAGGAGCTTGTTCTCTCCCACAAGCCATATGTGCCCAGATTGCATTCAGCCAATCAAACGCCAGCATCAGCCAGTGCTCCAGCCAATGGCAACGTGACGAAGTGCAACGGGACAGAGGGCAGGGCAACAGCGAATGGGAGCCTGACACCTGGCAGTGACGGTGCTGCTGCTGCTGATGGGGAGGAGGGTGGGAGGGTGGAGAGGTGTGAGTTTGGGCTTGGGGTGACGGAGGAGGGGAGGATGGGAGTGATTGCGAGAATGGGGTCAATTCAGAAGCTCAATTGTGTTCAGGTGAGATTCTCTACATCTCAGATCATGATGGGGTCGATTCAGAATTACAAGGTCAATCCAAAAGCTCGATTCCGCATAGGTCAATTCAAAGCTCAACGTTGCTCAGACGAGTGGAAATCTGTGAAGCTCCCTCAATACCAGGTAGAAGAGAGTGATGAGATGATGGAACTCAGGGAGCGCTTGGATGCAGAAATAGGCACATCTCCCATGCCATCTCAACAATTTTGTGTGTGTTTCCATGCCTGTTTGCATGCCTGCCTGCTTATGCATGTCCCCGTGTGTAATCAACACATCAGATCCTACCCAGGGAGCGCATGGATGCAGAGATATGGTACATCTCCCACACCATCCGATCGCTCCCCCATGCCACATCCGTTCCCCAACTCATCTCCTCCGGCCACCCAGCAATCCCTGCTCTTCTTGCCAAATTAGGCCTTGACTTGGTATCAGAGCGACGGAAACTCCTCCCAGGCGTCCATGCCAACGCTTCCACAGCTGCTACTCTTGCTCCTGGTTCTGCCGGTGCTGCTGGTGGTGCTGGCAGTGCTGGCAGCAATGCTGCTGATGTTACTGCCAGCTCCAACCACCCCAGAAGCTCTTCGTTCCTCAGTAAGCCCTCGGACCCCTCCTCTTAGCAGCCCTCCCCCACTCCGTGATCTCCTTCCACTCTCTCTTTTTTCTACCTTCCAAGCCTTTTGATGTCTTTTCCATCAACCTCTGAGCCTTTTCATAAGTGAATGCTCTCCTTGCCATCACCCCTCCGTTTGCGCTCGTTTGTTTTGTTCATTCCAGGCATCACTTTCCGGGTGATTGCTCCTGAATGTGACAGTAGCAGCATGGCAAAGGAAGTTACCAAGAAGCTTCCTCAGTCCACAACTGTAAGTGCTAGCTCGCTAAAAATATAGCATCTGTTCACTCATCGCTCAAGACACTACTGCTGAGTTGAATCGCTGGTGTTTGAAAAGCCTGCTGACAAGAATTGGCTTAACAGGCATGTCACACAAGCTGTCACTGAACCAGCATGTTCGCTCGTGGGTCTGAGCTGTCCAGAATGACATTTTTCTCGACTAAAGGCACATGCTGGTCACAGCATGGTCCAGCATGGACACATGCTGTTCATCCATTCGCCCTCCCTTCGCTGCACGTGCACATCTGAACTGCATGGTCACAGGTGTCTAAAATGCGACCCCTCATTGCTCGATTGCTCAAGCTGGAGCCCCGCTCCTTCTCCCTCTTCCTCCTGCCATCCACCCTCGAAGGCGTTCAGGTAGGGAGGCAGGGAGTTGTGAGAAAGGCTTGAGGGTAGAATTTTAGAGCTTAGACTTACAGGCTTGCGTGATTTACGTCTCTTGGTTACCTGAGAGGGGCTCGGAGGGATGGACTCTAGAGCTTACGATTACAGGCTTGCTGGATTTGCGGGCCTCTCACTTCACTCCTGCTAGAGACGATACCATGCCTTTGGGAGTGCTGGTGCGTTCTGGTACTATAGCTCCCTTGAGTGCTTCTCGAATGGTGGATGCTTTACAAACCAGCATCCTTATTGATGTGCTTGTTGCTTTATGCTGTTCTTTCTCCCACGCGCCCTGCAGCCTCTCCCTTCACTCCTACTGGACGATACGGTGCCTTTGGGGGTGCTGCTGCACTCTACTACCACAGCGGCTTTGAATGCTTCACAAGCGACCATCCTTGTCGATACCTCGCTGGTGAGTACATGATGTATTCTGGGGTATCAGCACACCTATACTTCATTCGCCATTACCTTCAGCGACGTTGATGATGATGTTTCATTGACAAAATTGGAATGTTTTTCTCCTCCCCCTTTTTTAATTCTATTGTACAGGATGTTCAGCAGGCAGAATCGCTTTCAGTTCCTCAAGTTTTGGCATGTGAGCAACGGTTACTAAAATTGCAGGAGAAAGTGTGAATTATGCGTTTGCTCAATATTGCTTAATGAACTGGGTAGTAAGTTATGCTGACTATTTATTGTTCGCTTGAGCCAACAAGATAGGGTTTTCATCCTAGCGGGGAGAGGTACCTGGACCCCTCCGCTAAAAGGGCAGGGGTAGCGCTTTCTGCGCATGGTTTTCGCAAAAGGCTGGGCTAGGGGGGGAGGGTTATCGTTCAGGTTAGGGAGTCGAGCCCTCGATGAGCCACGTGTTTCATCCTACGCTTGCTCGCTCACTGTACATCCCAACCACAGATTCCGCACTGCGCGCGCTTGTCTTTTCTACCGAACCCATCCCACGTTCCGGGTGGCACGACGGGTCACTGTTCCCAAACCACTGTGGCCCTACCTTTCGCGCCAATACTTGCTACAGCTTCACTGAAAACGCACAGAAACTCCGTCAAAGGACTTTCACGTCAAGGTTTGGCACACAGGAAAAGCGAAACACAATACAGGTAAATCCGTTGCGATAGGTTGAATTGATTGCGCATAGAATGAAAGTAGGGATATAAAATAAGAATGCCTAGGTCAGGTTTTCATATGCAAAACCTTGATTTGTGTTATTAAACCCTTGTCGGGTTTAGTATTGGATCAGTGACTATTTTTTTTTTAATGAATATATATATTTCTATAGATATTGTATCTCAGTCTCAAAAACCTGATGTACCTAATTAACATATCCCATGTATTACCTAGACAGAAAGAGGAAAAGAAGGGAAAGCACCTCGTAATAGCACAAGACATAGACCTGAAAAGCTGTAAATCATTTAGCATTAAAAAAACATATACCATATTAACATATATATTTATTTCTATACTAGATGTCATGTATATATACGACATAGTCACTGATCCAATACTAAACCCGACAAGGGTTTAATAACACAAATCAAGGTTTTGCATATGAAAACCTGACCTAGGCATTCTTATTTTATATCCCTACTTTCATTCTATGCGCAATCAATTCAACCTATCGTAACGGATTTACCTGTATTGTGTTTCACTTTTCCTGTGTGCCAAACCTTGACGTGAAAGTCCTTTGACGGAGTTTCTGTGCGTTTTCAGTGAAGCTGTAACAAGTATTGGCGCGAAAGGTAGGGCCACAGTGGTTTGGAAACAGTCACCCGTCGTGCCACCCGGAACGTGGGATGGGTTCGGTAGAAAAGACAAGCGCGCGCAGTGCGGAATCTGTGGTTGGGATGTACAGTAAGCGAGCAAGCGTAGGATGAAACACGTGGCTCATTGAGGGCTCGTCTCCCTAACCTGAACGATAACCCTCCCCCCCTAGCCCATTGGTTTCTGACATTTTCAGATGGCGTCACCCAAACATCTGCAAACCAGTCCTTCAAAAATGTTGAACTCCTCTCCGCCTCCCGCAGCCTTGGGACTTCAGCCTCCTCAACCTCTGCTTTGCTGCCGCGTCAGCCTGTATGCCAGGACCATTGTCTCCTGGCTTCTGCTTCTCCAGGTTTGGCCTGTGGTAGGTGAGTATGGCTTCTTCCTTTGCTTGTGGTTTATGCGTGAGTTTCTCTCGGTTTTTGTTCCGGTTTTCTTGGTTTTCTTGCAGGTTAGGTCCTCTTCTCCTCCTGTGTTTCGGCTGTTTCTGGATCGGTTCTGCTGGCTTTTCTTGCAAGTATTGCTGGGTTCTTCTCTCATCTCTCTCCTTGGTGGTTTCCACAGGCTTTCCCCGTGGCACATTATCCTTGTAGTGCAATCACTGCAGGTGCCTCCTAGGCCGTCTGCTCTCCTCTTCCTCCTCTCTGCCCGGCTCTGCTGGAGGTTTTTCGCTCTCTGGAAATCCCTGCTTGCGCAACCTGTCGCGCTCCACGTCTACTCCCAACCATGCACTCGTGCTTGGGTGACACGTTTTACCGTGGCTACGCCTCCTCCTGTGTGCTCTCTCCATGCACGCCTCGCGGCTCCCCTTCTCCTCGCTGGATCCTTGTTGGTTACTGTGTGCCTAGGCCATCGCCAAAGCCACGTCCTTTTCTCTCGTGAAATTGGTACATTTTATGCTCCCCCTGAGTCGCGATGCGTCGAGCCATCCCTCTCACCCCTTCCACGTCGGACCGCGCTTCCATGCTACAAATGGACGTACCAGGACATTCCATCCTTACCACCCGGCGCTATGGAACCCCAGCACAACCCAGACGAACTCATGGGAGAGGAGGAGCTCGGTGCCTCCTTCTCGGTCGATTCCTTTTTTGCCGAGGAGGCTGTCACCCCCGCTGTCTCTGCTCCGCCTCCCGCGAAACGCGTCTGCGCTGCTGGCTCTTCCAGTTCTGTGCCTGTGGCTCCCCGGGCGGCCACGGTGGTGCCGCCAGTCCCTCCGGGCATGGCTCCCGCAGCTGGTCCTTCCTCGGCTGCGCCTGCTCCTTCAACGTCGACCCAGGAAGCCAATTCTGTGGTCGCCCTCGCCATCACCGGCCGGTATCAGCGCCTACGGCGCAACCGCGAGACTGTGGGAGTCGTCGTCGCGGCCTTGGCTCGTGACACCGATGCACTTGTCGTGCTCCTGTTCCCTGAGGCGCTCGAAGCGCACCGCAGCCGCATCCTTACCCGCGTCCGCAGCATCCTCCGTGGTCGTGATTTCTCTGGTGGCCGCGTCCCTGTCTTCGAGGCCTCCGCAGGCGAGCTGCTGCGCCTTCCCCGTCGCTCGTACTGCCGTCACATGCTCCAGTGGCCGTCGGCTGATGATGCAAACCGCTTCAAGCAACTCCTTCCGATCTCCTACCGCTCTTCCGAGGGGCCGACCGCGGAGATTAAGGTCTACCAGGATCCCGCTCCCGACTTCTCCGCGGCAAAGTCTTGTGGTGAAACTGTTCTGGTGTTGCGCAACGTGCCTGTGGGCTTTGCGGTCCATACGATTCGCTCTCTGCTCGTGTCAAGTGCCTCTCAGGGTGCTAGGTGGCTCGGTGACCTTTTGTTCTTTCATAAGTTGTTTGACCCCTATGAGGAGTCCTTTCTCCCACAGATGCTGGGCATAGCCGTCGCGCCTCCCAACGACCCGCTGTTTGAGGCTATTCCGGCCGTGATCTGGGTGCCTAACGTCCAAGAACCCATCTTGGTGAATATCTCGGCACACGCGTGCGGGGTGTGCTCAAGCAATCACCGGACCCGCGATCACAGCAACTTCGCGGCGGTGCGAAGGAACCGCATCACGAATCCTTTTACCATCACTCTTGGGCAACTCCAAAACGTTAATGGTACTCCCCCCCTTCTCCTTTTTGATTCTAGTGCCTCTACTCGCTTTGCTTTTGGGTCGGTCTGCCGTTACGTCTTCGGTTTGCCTCCTTGTGTCGGTTATAATCTTTACTTTCCGTTTCCTGTCTGGTGCTCGGCTTGCCTGTCTTTCGTGCTACGACGTGCACGTTTCTCCCTTAGCCTGGCCCCTCTGGTCTTGAGATTTGCTCATCTCGGTTTTTACCCCCTGACATCTTCCAGCCAGGATCATCGGCCACCATCCTTCAGTGGCCTCCTTCAAGGCAGACCCCGGCACCTTCTTCATCGGAACCGACCTCGAGGTGGAGGTCTGGACCTGCGCTCTGTGTTCCTTCTGCTGTGGCTGGGCACTGGACAGTGCCATGGAGCATATTGCCAGCCCCTCCCACGTGTCTGCCACCCAGCAGATATCCGGCAGCCCCACTCCCCTGGAAGAGTACGGGGACGTGAAGGTCCACATCTTCAATCAGAATGGCCCTATCGCTGCCTTTCTTGCGTAGGCGCTGAAGATTACAGCTGTTATGCCCTATCTGCGCGCTGCTTGTACTCAATGTTGTATAATCTAGCCGGACGGACTTTGTGCAACTGTTGGTATTTTGTTTCCTCCCAGGATGGTCCTTCTAATGTTGTTGCCTTACCTTGCCCCTGTGGATGTGTGCTTCTCGAAGCACAAGGGGCCGTCTTATATGGTGAATAATGGATTCACACCTCAGGATACAATGTTTGAACGTCAATGGGCTCAACTCTCCCCAGAAGTTAGATGTTCTTCGCTCCTGGTTCTCTAGGAACCGCTCTGATATTCTTATCCTAACCGACACTCGCCTTACCACCAATTTCTCCCATCTCCTGTTTAAACTCAAGCCAAAGGCATACGCCCAGGTTCCCCCACGCCTCTCATCTTCTTCCCAGGCCAAACCTGGAGGCATTGCAATTCTAGTTTTCCATCCTAGCGTCTCCATCACTAGCAGAGTGTCGTCTGGTGATGGCCGCTGCCTTTACCTTCACTGCAATTTTCTGCACGAACAATTTCGGCTGATTGCGGTATACGCACCCAGTTATTACGTGGATAGACGAAACTGGTGGATCGATACAGTTACGCACTTCTTGGAGGAACCTTCCGTCAGTTCCGCTACCATTCTTACCGGAGATTTTAACACTGTTGTGCTCCCTGTTGACAGGAATCGTAACTTGACATCTGTCGAGTGTTCCGAGGCTGTTTTCCTCGGCGATTCTCTGACAGAGCACTGTCTCATTGATTGCTATAGGCACAAATTTCCGGACGAGCCCATGTTCTCCTTTACTTCCCGTCGGCCTCCCTCCGTTCCTTACTCCGCGCCTTCCTCGTCTCGATTGGACAGAACGTACATTTCTGCCCAGTGGGCCGATCGGATTCATCACGCTTCCTATACTCCTGTTTCCCACCCTCTCTCAGACCACAACCGGGGCCCGCTGGTGGTGATTCGTTTTCATAACCCCAATATGGCCCCTAAGCCGTGGCGGTTTCCGCAGCATTTGATTCTCAAGCCTTTCGTGTGCGCTACCTTAGAACGCTCCGCCTCCTTGCTCCAGGGCGAGTTCTCCGTACAAGAGTGGGATCACTGGAAGTCCAACCTCCGCCGCCAACTCAGATGGTACAGCAAGGAGGAGACAACACGTGTTAGGAAAACATTGTCTTACCTTAATAATGAGGTATGCGCTCTCCAGCTACACCTCCTGAGAAACCCTGCTGACCAGCTCGGTGCTGCTCGCCTCGGCCTTCTCTCTTCTAGCCTGGAAACTTACGAACTCTCCCGTGCCGCCGAAATCGCGCTTAAAGCTCAACTCAAAGTCGAGGGTGCAAGGGAGATGGGAGTTTCCTCCCTTTTGGTCGGCCTTCAAGGTCGTATCAAAGATTCCCTCATTCCTCATCTTAAGTTGCCCTCGGGCGTGGTGATTTCTGACCTGCCCGGCATGTCCCAACACTGTTCTGAGTTCTTCGCTAATCTGTATAATGGCCTCACTCCTATCTCCAAGGACCCCTCCTTTTGGGGTCATGTCCGGCCTTCTATTCTGCCCCCCGGCTGCTCTGCCCGCCTGGACCAGCCTTTCTCCCAGGCTGAAATCGAACGTGCGCTCGGGCGTCTCTCCAGAGGAAAAACGCCAGGTCCGGACGGGCTTCCCGGTGAGCTTTTTCGCTCCCACAAGAAGTTATTCACCCCCTTGTTCCACTCTCTTTGTTGTTCCATCCGCTCGCAAGGTCAGATTCCGAACTCTATGAAGACAGGCAGAACCGTGCTCATCCCCAAGCGTGGAAGCTCCGATGTGGTCTCTAACCTCCGGCCGATTACCCTTATGAACGCGGACTATAAAATTATCGCCCTCCTCCTTGCCTCCCGCCTGCAGGCCGTGTTGCCTAAAATCATCAACCCAGCTCAAGCTGCATTCATTACGGGACGTCGCATTGGGGATACAATTAATGACACTCTTGATCTCATGGAATGGGCCCTCTCACAGGGCAACCCGCTTCTTGTTCTCACGGTTGATATTCGGAAAGCCTACGACATGGTAGACAGGCCCTTCCTTTATCAATGCCTGCAGCACTTGGGGATCTCCCCGGGTTTCATCCAATGGGTCGCCTTGCTTCACTCGGACACTTCGACCAGAATCTCAGTGAATAATTTCTCTGGTCCTCTGTTTCCCGTTCGCTCAGGTGTTCGCCAAGGTTGCCCCCTTGCTCCTCTCCTCTTCGTTTGTGTGATTGAGGTCATGCAACGCTACCTCCAGGCTTTTCTTCCCGGCTTCGCTTTCAATCCAACGCAAAGAAGGTTAGCCGCTTGCTATGCCGATGATGTTTCTATTTTTCTCAACTCTGATGCTGAACTCAAAATAGCCACACAAGCTCTCAACTCGTTTGCTGCCGTGTCTGGTGAACACCCTAATTGGGAGAAATGCTCCATCATTCCCGTTCACAAGCTCGTCTCCCCCTTAATCCACTCTGGCCAGATCCCTGTAAGGAGCATAGACGAACCCGAGCGGATCTTGGGGATCTACGTGGAATTATGTCAACCTGGTGTGACCACGTGGAACACCATCATGCCACGTATCAGGGGCACCACCAAGGTGCTGGCCCAAGTTAAAGCCACCACCACTTGTCGCTCTCTTCTCTCCACCGAAAGACTCTCCTCGCTCTATGCATACGGCGCCAGATTTCAACCCCCCCCCCCCCCCCATCATTACCACTCTGGACCGAGTCATAGGCATCTTTCTGTCCAATTCCCGTTACAAGGAACATGGACTAGCCACCAGGCAGATTCCTAAGCGCATCCTGTTCAACAAAAAAAAACACGGTGGTGTTGGCACCTTGGAACCTTCCTCGCACATTCGTGCTTTGAGTATTCAACGTGCGGCGAGGAGATTCCGTGCTACCCCGTATGAAGATGTGGCTCACTCTTGTGTCCCTGTCCCCTTTGGCCTCCACTGCTACCTTGCTCACCCATCCCTAGTCAAGTTCCTTCCTCCCCAGGTGCCTGACAGATTCCGTGCAGAGCTTGAAGCAGTGCTTCCCCTACCTTCCAAGGTTCTACCCCCGCGGCTGGAACCGCGTTGTCTCATGGCCGAACCAATTGCCTTCAATAGGTTCATTTGCAAAGAACCGAACGTTCCCTTCGGTCGGCTGAAGGATGAGAAGTTTCTTCTCAACAACCAGGTGCGCCTTGGGGACCTTCTCGTTCCCACTCGGTTGGGGGCAAGACGCCTTGCAGAGCATGAGATTTTCGAAAAATTCCCGCCCTCTGTGTTTCCAGGTAGCAGAACGCTCATCCTCAACGTCTTCGACTCCATTCCGCTCAGTTGGTGGGCCACGCTCAGACGGTTTTCCCCCCACAGGAAATATTTGTCCGTTGATGACTGGGTCTTGGAGGCGAAACAAACCTACCTTCCCAGCCGCATTCTCCGTGTCTCCCTCCTGCTCCCTGACTTCAAGGCTAAATTCCACATCTACCAGGTACTTCAAGGAAGACAGGTGGCGACCACAAGCGACGGAAGCTGCACGCTGTCTTTCAGGGATGTCATCCCTGTTTTCGTCCGTGGGAGGTGGCTCGCTGGACCATACGATTCTGGACCTGCGCTCGGATCCCGGCATGAACTCTTCGCGGGCCCTCCCTCACTCGCGGATATCAGACAACTCCTCTATCATCCGCTGCCGCTGAACCACCTGGAACGATGGAGCGTTTGCGTTCGAGACCCCATTCCTTTCCTCCCAGACTATCATCACTCGTTTCTCAAGGATCAGCCTTCACGGCACCGCGACATCCTGTTCCGCCTCTTCACGCTGACCCTGCCCTGCGGAGCGCGATACCGCTTCACTACATCGGGTGGCGCCTGCCCACGTTGCGGGCCTCCCTGTATTGAGGATCTTCCTCACATGTTTTTCGATTGTGGGCACGCGCCTGCGGTGGTGGAGGCAATTCAAAGAGTCGCTTTGAGTCACCTAAACACTTCTGTTGAAGCAGCCGCCACGTTCTTCCCGCTTCCTCACCCTTCGAGTCTCATTGCTCCCTGGTGCCTACTCGTGGGTGCTGCTGCCACAATTCTCTGGCGAGATCGATGCGCATTTCACCACGAACAGACCTCCTACTCACGCCTTGAGACGCTACACCGAATACTAGCTCTCTTCCTTACTGCGTGCAAAGTCTACTTCTCTCGGCGTTCTAAGTGGTCTGATAAGAAGAAACGTGCCACAAACAATCGTGTCAAAGCGGCAGCTTCTCTACGCCTCCTCAATTTTGGCCCCGACGGTTCCCCTCAGCTGCATCCATGCCTCCGAGAGTCCTGGTTGCTGAACGACACATTTCATCCTCCGTAGAATCTACTGAACCCTAGGTGTACAACCCGGTTAAGGCTTCGGCCTTCACTCTACCGTAAGGTAGGCAAGTAACGCAGTTTTGTGTAGGTCTTTTAGACCTTGGCTTTTTGCCATTCTTGTGGTGTTGTACTGTATGCGGTTACTACCATAATAAAAACTTAAAACTTAAAACTTAAACCTCCCCCCCTAGCCTAGCCTTTTGCGAAAACCATGCGCAGAAAGCGCTAACCCTACCCTTTTAGCGGAGGGGTCCAGGTACCTCTCCCCGCTAGGATGAAAACCCAACAAGATAGTACAGTTAGGCTCCCCGCTAAGGACACACCGCAACATCCAGGTTTTTCCCGCCTCTTTCACCCTAAAATTTGCTTGTCTGACAGCTCTCTTCCAACAATCGAGGCCGTCCGATTTCGTTTTAACGCACTGTACACCTCGATCTTCCACGGCACGACATCCCCTTGAAGTTGTCACCCAGCTCACGGATCACGACACATCCCAACCAATTCCCAAGGCCCTGAGCTCTCCATTTTCTGTTTTCCGCTCCATTTTCACGAATCTTCTCCATTCTACTTTTCCTCCCTTTTGGCTAATATGGTCTCCTTAGCTGTCTCCGAGGTGGGATCTTGTTGAGCTCCTTCTTCCCAGCACCGCGCTTCTCTTATAGCATCTCGTCTAGCACACTAGAACCATGATCTGTTCCCAGCGATCGCTTTGCACGTTCGACTCCTCCAATCTCTGGCCTCTCGAGAGGGAATCTCTCGCTAAGCCATACTCGTCGAACAGGCTTTTTTACTTCTCAATGGCCCGTACTTTCTCTACCGTACGTTTGTTCTCTTACGACAAAAAATATCCACGCGTCGGTTCTTGTATGGCCGACGATCTGCGTAGAGTAAGCAATATGGAACCCTGTCAAATCGTTGGCCAATCGGAGTGCAGAAGCAAGCACCACCCAGCACGTGAGCGGCATCAATCCCGGCGCTCGCTATTAGCTCTTTCGGCTCGCCCTAGCGAACGCGCTAGCCATGCCACGTGTACGAGAAGTCGATCAACCGAGCGCCGCCAACGATTTTGCGAAGCGTCGATTGCGTCCTGTCGTAGAGCGTCATATCGTAGACTGCTGCCCTACGATAGAGACCCTCCGTGGGTCCTGCAGCGGCGAGTCGCGGCTCTTCTCAGCGAAGGCTTCGCCGTGTCCTCAGCCTCCGAGGTTTCTCAAATACCCCTGGTTCAAACAGAATCCGGTACGGGTTGGTCTGGGTGTCTGCCTGCGGGGTGATTTTGAGGCACCTCAAGAACTAGTCGGCCTCACCTGCCGGGAGTTGTCATATACCCGCGCTTTGCTCCGTATTTCGTGCGGGTTCTTATAGTTGCGAGCTGCGTGGCCTCACTAAACGAGAGCAGCTGCAGCAGCCTCGGCAGCCGCAGCCGCAGCAGCATCACCATTGGCGGCACTCCACGCCGCCGCTAGCGTCATCGCCAGCGCCGCCGCTAGCACGCCATCAACGCCGTCGCCTGCACCAGCACGGGGACCGGCATCAGCAGAGAAGTGAAGCCTTTGCGGGGAGAGGCAGGGGCGTGGCGCACCTGACGTTCCGTTGCGCTGCCGCGCTGTCGCTGCAGGGCCACGTGCCTGTTGTGAGGAAGACGCGAAGTTGCCGCTGTTGCGAGGAAGACAAAAGGGTATCCGCGTTTGTATGGACTCCATTCCGGAGTTCGACGAAGAGATTGAGATGATCGGGAGCGAGGAGGAGCGACGGGTGGCCGTGGCGATGGGCGGCGGGGGGGGAGGTGCTGCGGGGATGGGCGGCGGGGGGAAAGGTCCTGGGGGGCTGGGAGGGGGAGCTGGCGCTGTGGGGATGGGGGCCGGAGGGGGCGCTGTGGGGATGGGCGCGGATGGGCTGGGGAAGGGGAAGGGGAAGATGAGTCCGAGTGATGAGGAGGCGGCATATAGGGCAACGTATGGCTCGCACTTTGATGCGGAATATGATGCTTCTGATAGTGGCTCGAGTGCCAACGGCTCAGATGCTTCTGGAGATGCAGCCGTGGCTGGTTGGGTTGAGAGGAGCAGGAATGGCAAGGGTGAGTGGCGCAGCGGTAACAGCGGAAACAGCAGGAGCAGCCGCAGCAACGAAACCACTGGTGGCAATGGTAGCGGCAGCGGCAACAATGGTAACGGCAGCAATGGCAGGGGCAGCAGCAGGAGGCACGGCAGGAGGGAGCAGCAGCGGAGCAGGCGGGCGGCTGAGATAACTGAAGTCCCGATCCCTGAGGACTACGAGGAGGAAGGGGCTGCTCCAAGCAAGGAGGAGAGCGCTCCTTCAGGGGGTACGTCTCTGGTTACCCCTGGGGCTCCCCCGGGGGTGGCACCTCAGGGGAATGATCGACTGCAGCAGCAGCAGCAGCAGCAGCTGCAGAGGACGGTGTGGGAGCTTCGCTCAGGCGTTGCTCCTGCTGCTGCGGCTGCTGCTGCTGCTACTGCTGCCGCTGCTGCTGCGACGGCCACTGCTCCTGCGAATGGTACTGCTCGTGGTGGTGGGAGCTCCAGGAATCATCGCACCAAGTCTGATTCAGCTGCTCGTGGCAATGCCACCACTCGTGGTGGTTCTGCTGCTGCTGCTGCTGCTGCTGCTGCTGCTGCCAGCCCCCACCTCACTGCTGCAACCGCTCCCAACGCTGCTATCTCTCCTGCTGCTCCTCCATCCGCCCCAGCATCGTCTCTCCCTTCCCCCCCTCTTCCCTCCTCACCTCCTCTCGCCCCCAACGTCTCCCCCGCCTCCCCCACTCTCTGGTACACCCCGCTCTCTCCCATTCTCCCCGGTCCCCCCAATGGAACCCCCCAGCACCGCTCTAAACCCCGCAGCACCCCGTCCTCCTCCCCTTCCGACTCCACCTTCAGCACCCTCACCACGGGTAGCAAACCCAACTCCTCCCCTGTTCCCTCTTCGTCCCCCGCCTCCTCCTCCGCCTCCCCTCCGCCTGCTTCTATAGCCTCTTCCGCCCCTGGGGGCGGCCTCTGCCCGGGGATAGACGGCGGGATATGCAACTTCCGCATGTCGTCCCGCACGCATTTCCTCCTCATGCGTTTCATCTCGCTTTTCACCGTGCTTTCCGGCCTCGGATACCTCTCCTGGAAATGCTACATGGTGGGGCGGAACATAACCCAAGCTGGACCGGCCTGCCTGCTCTTTCTCTCCACCGAAATCCTCGTCTTCCTCTCTTCCTTCATGCTAGTCGTTGAGTTGTCCAAGCCGGCGAAAGAGAGGAAGGCGCTGAGTCTACCCCCCTCGGGGCCGTTTCCCCGGGTTGCGATTCTCATCTGCTGTTGTAGTGAGAAGATAGATGTGATTCAGGACACGGTTAAAGGTGCTATGAATCAGAATTACCCCGGGGAGAGGTACTCAGTGTGGGTGCTGGACGACGGGGGGGATGACGAGCTTAAAGCCTGGGTAGAAGCAGAGGCTATGGAGGGGTGGAGCGGAGGAGGTGGGGGAAGCGGCGGAGCAGGAGCAGCAGGAGCAGAAGGAGGGGAAGTAGGAGGAGTGGAGGTGGGGCAGGATCAGAGCGAGCAGAGCCAGCTGCAGCGGCAGCAGCAGCTGATGGTGCTGCAGCAGCAGCAGGGTCGGCGGCTGTTCTACCTCCGTCGCCCCAAGAAGAAAGATGTGCCTCACCACTTCAAAGCAGGGAACATCAACTACGGTCTTCACTTCGCCTGCGGGGAGTTTGTCGCAGTGTTGGATGCGGATATGATTCCGTCGCCCTTCTTCTTGTCGGCGCTGCTGCCGCATATTGTCGGGGAGGAGAAGGGCGACGTGGCATTCGTGCAGTGCCCACAGTCGTTTTACAATATTGTCAAGGGGGACCCTCTGAACGACTCGTCACAAGACTTCTACGATGTTCTGCTGCCCTACAGGTGTGTGTCTTTTGAGTCCGTGTGTTGAGTCTGTGACAAAAGGGCGATGTGAAGGGGAGGAGAAGGGCGACGTGGCATTCGTGCAGTGCCCGCAGTCGTTTTACAATATTGTGAAAGGGGGGGACCCTCTGAAAGACTCTTCGCAAGATTTCTATGATGTGCTTCTGCCCTACAGGTATGAGTTCTGAGTCTTTGTGTTGAGTCAGTGTCGGGGGGATGTTGCGTTTGTGTAGCGCCCGCAGTCGTTTTACACCATCGTCAAGGAGGATCCGCTGAATGATTCTTCACAGGACTCCTACGACGTGCTGCTGCCATACAGGTGAGACTTGATAGTCGTCCTTGTGCAGGGGTGTCTCTTTCGTGCTGGAAGGGTGATGTGGCATCTGTGTAGTGCCCCCTCCCCAGTCGTTTTACACCATCGTCAAGGGGGATCCGCTGAATGATCGTTCGCAAGACTTTTACGACGTTCTTCTGCCCTACAGGTATGACATTTGTGCTGATCTGAACCGAGAGGGCGAGATATGACATTTGTTCAGTTCTCGCAGTCAGCACATTCCCGATTCTATTTTGCCATTCCTTCTTTTGCATTCATGACGTTACATGCCTCCCACCTGCGAACGATAGCATTTCGGGGCAGTGGGACAGATTACAACTCTATTTGCCCTGGATTTCTTTCTCTCTCCATTCCTGCTTTCTTACCAGAGATGGCCGGGACAGTGCCCAGTGCGTGGGTACAGGAGTCATTTTCCGCGCTGCCCACCTGCGAGCAATCGGCGGGTTCACAGTGGGGTCGATTACAGAGGATTTCGATACCGCTATGACGCTGCATGCCAGGGGTTACAAGACGGCCTATGTCAACCAGGTGAGGTGATTGAGAGATGGGTGATTGAGAGATGGGTGAGAGGCATGCTCCATGTGACTTTAATGCGGTGCGTGTGGTTCACAGTGGGGTCGATCACAGAGGATGTTGACACGGCCATGACGCTGCTTGCTAGGGAGTACAAGACGGGCTATGTCAACCAGGTGAGGGAGCTGGGGGATTACGATGGGTCAATTCCTAGATGTTGGAATGCAAGGGATGGGGCATGCTTGGCGGGTTCACAGTGGGGGTAGATCACAGAGGCTTTCCACACAACAATGACGCTGCATGCCAACGGCTACAAGACGGCCTATGTGAACCAGGCGCGCTAGAAATTAAAGCCACACTAGTGGCCACTATGTGCAGGACGAGCAGTTAGTGGGCCATAGGCAGCCTGCACACTTCAGACAGACACCTCATTCCCACCCTGATTTGATTCTTCCTCTTCTTTCTGTGTGAAATGATGCCAACAGCGTCTGCAAGCAGGACTCGCCCCCTGGAGTCTGGAGGGGTACATCAAGCAGCACCAGCGGTGGGCCACAGGCAGCCTGCAGATTCTGTTACACCGTAACCCGCTTCTGCTCCGCGCACCCAAGTTCAGCTTCTACCGCCGCATCTCCTACTGGTATGCTGGTAAGTACCTCAGGCCCTTCACCCCTATGCTTGCTGGGCCGCTTGTGAGTCTCACGTCCCTGCATCCCCACGTAGACTTGAGAGTTTATATAAGTTATGATACTACTTCTGAGGCGCGTCAAAAGTAGCTGTTTTGCTGTTTTTTGAGATACGCGTTTTTTTTAGATGTCTTAGAGCTCTTCTGTAGCCTCTACCATTGATTCTGCTTCTGGCAACTATTATTGAGGAGCCTCAAAGCCTAGCTTTAGCCTGTACTGCAGGATATCGCACTGGTATCCTGTTCACTATAAAGCCTCACTTCACATTCTTCACTTCACTCACATTCTTCACTTCACTCACATTCTTCACTTCGCTCACATTCTTCACTTCACTCACATTCTTCACTTCACTCACATTCTTCACTTCACTCACATTCTTCACTTCACTCACATTCTTCACTTCACTCACATTCTTCACTTCACTCACATTCTTCACTTCACTCACATTCTTCACTTCACTCACATTCTTCACTTCACTCACATTCTTCACTTCACTCACATTCTTCACTTCACTCACATTCTTCACTTCACTCACATTCTTCACTTCACTCACATTCTTCACTTCACTCACATTCTTCACTTCACTCACATTCTTCACTTCACTCACATTCTTCACTTCACTCACATTCTTCACTTCACTCACATTCTTCACTTCACTCACATTCTTCACTTCACTCACATTCTTCACTTCACTCACATTCTTCACTTCACTCACATTCTTCACTTCACTCACATTCTTCACTTCACTCACATTCTTCACTTCACTCACATTCTTCACTTCACTCACATTCTTCACTTCACTCACATTCTTCACTTCACTCACATTCTTCACTTCACTCACATTCTTCACTTCACTCACATTCTTCACTTCACTCACATTCTTCACTTCACTCACATTCTTCACTTCACTCACATTCTTCACTTCACTCACATTCTTCACTTCACTCACATTCTTCACTTCACTCACATTCTTCACTTCACTCACATTCTTCACTTCACTCACATTCTTCACTTCACTCACATTCTTCACTTCACTCACATTCTTCACTTCACTCACATTCTTCACTTCACTCACATCCTTCACTTCACTCACATCCTTCACTTCACTCACATCCTTCACTTCACTCACATTCTTCACTTCACTCACATTCTTCACTTCACTCACATTCTTCACTTCACTCACATTCTTCACTTCACTCACATTCTTCACTTCACTCACATTCTTCACTTCACTCACATTCTTCACTTCACTCACATTCTTCACTTCACTCACATTCTTCACTTCACTCACATTCTTCACTTCACTCACATTCTTCACTTCACTCACATTCTTCACTTCACTCACATTCTTCACTTCACTCACATTCTTCACTTCACTCACATTCTTCACTTCACTCACATTCTTCCTCCGGCCATGTAGATTCCCCCGCCACCTGCTCCAACCCCGACATATTCCCTCCCGCCTCTCCCCCCACTTCCCGCATCTCCACGCTTTCCACCAGGCATGTAGTACCATCTCAACGTGATCGTCATCATGATCCTCACATGCCTTTCTTTCAGGATATTATTGAGAACATTCCCTCCTCCCCCACCCCCCTTCCCTACCCTCCGGGCGTACAGTACTATCTCAATATGATCGTCATCACGATCCTCGTCCTACCTATCCAACCAGCACCTTTCCTCCACTCCCATTTCTTTCTCCCTCCAGGCGTGCAGTACTATCTCAACGTGATTGTCATCATGATCCTCGTCCTACCTGTCCTCATCCTGGCCCTCGATCTCCGCATCATGCCGCCCGGCCCCATTTTCGAGACCACCCGCCTCTACATCATCCTCCTGGTCCCCTACGTCTTCACCTCACGCCTCCTCTGCCTCGGCCTCTTCTCCCGCCTCCCCAACGGCATGATGGTTCAGCTGCGGGGGGAGCAGGTCTGGTACTGGATGTCTTTTTTCAATTGCATGGCGATCCTTAAGTTTCTTTTTCCGTTCGTTTCGAAGAAATTTGAAGCCACGGGCAGCACGAAGAAAAAGGCGCCGGCGGTGTGGGAGAGGCTGATGACTGTGTGGTTCCATGTGGGGTTTTGTGTGGCGGGGGTTGGCGCGGTGGCATGGCGATTTGCTACAGTGGACTTCCACGATTGCGGAATGGTATGCGCAAGGAAGCTAGGGAAGACACCTTATTTGTTTGGTTGCTTTCCTGCTTGCATTCTCCCTCAGCCTGTTTGGCTGGGCTTGTTCTCTTGTGCTCTTTCCCTTGTTTCCATGAGGCATTATTGTTTCCCTTTCCTTTTTGATCTAATTATTTCTCGAGATTTGCACTGATTTCCTGCCCATTTGATTTTCTTGCAGCTTCTCAAGGTGACCTCTTGGGCTCCCTTCATCCTCTTTTCGGTGCAAAGCATGCTCGTGCCAATAATCCATGTTATCATGTCTCCAACACATCCTAAGGTGGAGGATCGAAAGAAATATCTCAATTATGATGAGTATGGGGTGCCATATCTAAGGCCCGAGCAGTTGTTGCCGAAGCGTGATTACTGCGTGTTGCTTTTCAACATCATCCCTGCCATCTGGGCGTTGACCATAGGGTTCTACTTCTATGCGGCGATCACCAATTTCAGACCTGGCTTCTGCACCAAGAGCGGGTTCTTTGGGTATCCCAGGTTTTAGATAGCTTCCTTTATTTGTATCATGATCCTGATACGCTAGGTTCTTTGTTTGTGGTGTACTTCATCAATAAATATCGTTTTAAGCCCATTTTACAGAAGACTGAAACGAAGTGTCGCGTCAAAGTGTCGGCTTGACTGAACCTCACCTCACCGACCTCGGGTCCACCGTGGGTGTGGGCTAGTCGCGTCAACAATCGAGTTCGTCCGTATTCCAACAGCCGACGGCTTAGGACTGGGCCCAATCGACTCTGATCGGCTCTGATCGGATCGGTTTGGGTCGGACCGGATTGCTTGTGATCGTTTTTCTCGCGCCGCCCGATCAGAGATTATTTTCCTCGAATGTCTCGTGCTCTTGCATAAAAACTGTCGGCCCATTACCTGGTAGTTGCATCCCAACTTTGGCGAGACGGACGAATCTCAGTATCGTGGTAATGTCGCCAAAATCATGTTCCAACACTCAGTTCTCGCCGATCTGGGTGTCTTCGCAAGGATTGTCGAGACCTTATGGCGAGCTGTGTTACATTTCGTGTAAATCGCGTAGGTCGCCGATCACATACAATCAAGTGATTGGGGCTGATTGTGTCTGATCGGTTCTGATCGGCCTGTTTGAGGCGGTCGATTGAGTTGGCGCGATCAGCTGATTGACCCTGATTGCCTGAAATCTGCTTCCCGCCCTCCTCGAAGTTCTCGATCGTCTCTGATCGCGCCGATCAAAGTCGATTGGGCCCACGTCCTTAGATGACCCTTGCCCGCAGGGCTAGGAATCACCGACGATGTGAGGCCGAAATCTTGCAACAGCCCAGCTGAATTTGGAAGAAAATTTCACTGAAACTAGAAAATGCATTCTGAACAGCAACACGATAGTTCGTCATTATTCGCAACAAGTTTTTACCCTTTCGCCTGGCCCTGGTTACATTTATCCAACAGACCACCCGCGTCAGGGTAATTAGGGGCCAATTTCATCCCACCCGTCAGTCTATCCCCTTAGCAGCATGTGTACCTACGGCGACCCCACTGCGTGCCACCCACCCACCAACTTCGGTCCACAAATCGCATGTCGCGCAAAAGCTGACTCGACGAGGTAAAGCTTGTCGGTGCTACTCCAATTCGGCGCGTAGCGCACTATACACGACCAGGTGTTATCCTCACAACCACTAGCGTAACGGCAGTCCACGCGGCACGCGCAAATCTATTACGTTATGTTAGTGGTTGATGCGAGGGAGAAAGTGTCTTATTTGGATCTTGGTTCTTCCATTCTTCTTGCATTTCTCGCGAATCTGCACAGCGTTTGGTTCGATCGACGCGATCTATTTCCTACCCTACATTGTTCTCACACGTATTGGTCGGCTCGGCAAACGGATTCAATAGAAGCGTGGATCGTTACGGGACGCTAGACAATCAATCTTCTCATTTTCCGAACCTGAGCGGCGCGAGTCTGCGTAGCCGCGGCATGGCGGCGGGTCGCTCCTTAGCGCGTTCGAGCGTGCATATAACCGTTATACGACAATTAAATCTTAGAATACTCTTTACGAGCTCCTTAATTGCATCCTTGCTTTGCGTTCAACTTGCGTGCCGTGCTGACACGGACGCCGCTTGGGCCAGTGGTAGAACGACACGTGTAGGGAACAGCGGGAGACGGCTCTCGACGCCGCCGGCGAATGGGGTAACCAACTTCCAACCGACGCAGGCGACAGTGTGCAATTTCTCCCGCAGCGGGCAGTGGCTTTCGCGAAACAAGGCTCCCTACGGCGCCGATTGTCCTTTCCTCAAGGTATCGCGCCCATGCCGCGGTATTTGCTCCACATGCCGCGGTATTTGCGCCCATGCCGCGGTATTTGCGCCCATGCCGCGGCATTTGCGCCCATGCCGCGGTATTTGCGCCCATGCCGCGGTATTTGCGCCCACGCGCGGCAGTCTTTGTACCCATGCGGTACTAGCGCCACACACACCTCTCTCACGTTCCGCCCGCTACGTTTACCTTGACAACTCCCGCGTGTTGCTTCACCTTCTCATTTCACGAAAGCCTCACCTTCACCTTCTCCACACGAGAGATGGAGTCTGTCTCCTCCCAATCCAACCCCTCTCCCCCCTCCTCCCATCTACAACCCATCTCCCCGTCCCGTGCCCTAGTTTCAAGCCCCTCCTTGCCCATCTAGAACTGAACGAACTTCTCCTTGCCTCCTCCTCCTTAATACCAATCCCCCCTCTCTTTCCTCCTTCTCCCCCTCCCTTCTTCCCCCGTCCTGTTCCCTTCATATCGCTCGTATCGGCGCGCATGTGGGGCCCGAGAAGTGTATGTTTTTTGAGAATTCTAAAAAATCGGCGCGCATGTGGGGCCCGTGAAGTGCATCATCAAGCCCAGGAGCCGTCCCCTTCCCCTCTTCCCCCTATTCCCTTCCTCTCCCCTACCCCCTCTTCCCTTCCTCGCCCCTTCCCCCATCCCCTTCCCCCCATATCGCTGGTATCGGCGCGGCCGAACGTGGGCCCAGTGAATTGCATCATCAAGCCCCGAAACCGTCCTTCTCCCCTCTTCCCCCTATTCCCTTCCTCCCCCTCTCTCTCATCCCCTTCCCCCCATATCACTGGTATCGGCGCGGCAGAACGTGGGTCCAGTGAATTGCATCATCAAGCCCAGGAATCGCCCCAAGAACTGGCTGGTGAGAAATGGGTTGGGTACGGTGGGGCTGGGTATGGGTTTGTCCCATTTTGCAACGTCCAAGCTTGGTTCTGCCTCTTCTCCTCCGGTGAGCAAGTTTCGAGTCGACACAACAACCAGCCCAGGCGGGGACAACAGTCTGACCGGACAGCTGGGTGGTTAGGACAGAGGTGCCTTTGCTCCTTCATCTTTGCTCATTCATCTTTGCTCATTCATCTTTGCTCATTCATCTTTGCTCATTCATCTTTGCTCATTCATCTTTGCTCATTCATCTTTGCTCATTCATCTTTGCTCATTCATCTTTGCTCATTCATCTTTGCTCATTCATCTTTGCTCATTCATCTTTGCTCATTCATCTTTGCTCATTCATCTTTGCTCATTCATCTTTGCTCATTCATCTTTGCTCATTCATCTTTGCTCATTCATCTTTGCTCATTCATCTTTGCTCATTCATCTTTGCTCATTCATCTTTGCTCATTCATCTTTGCTCATTCATCTTTGCTCATTCATCTTTGCTCATTCATCTTTGCTCATTCATCTTTGCTCATTCATCTTTGCTCATTCATCTTTGCTCATTCACCTTTGCTCATTCATCTTTGCTCATTCATCTTTGCTCATTCATCTTTGCTCATTCATCTTTGCTCATTCATCTTTGCTCATTCATCTTTGCTCATTCATCTTTGCTCCTTCATCTTTGCTCCTTCATCTTTGCTCATTCATCTTTGCTCATTCACCTTTGCTCATTCATCTTTGCTCATTCATCTTTGCTCATTCATCTTTGCTCATTCATCTTTGCTCCTTCATCTTTGCTCATTCATCTTTGCTCATTCATCTTTGCTCATTCATCTTTGCTCATTCATCTTTGCTCATTCATCTTTGCTCATTCATCTTTGCTCCTTCATCTTTGCTCATTCATCTTTGCTCATTCATCTTTGCTCATTCATCTTTGCTCATTCATCTTTGCTCATTCATCTTTGCTCATTCATCTTTGCTCATTCATCCACTAAACCCTCCCCTCGCCCCTCCCTCCCCCTCCCCTCCCCCCCCCTCCTTCCCCACCCCCCCCCTCCATCCCCTCTTCACCCCCCTCCCCCCCTCTCCTTCTCCCCTTTCCCCCCACCGCCATTATCCCCTCCCTCAGAACTACCGTTACAGACCCAAGAACTGCGGGCAGCCATGGTTTTCCTTCGCTCCTCTGGCCTTCCTGCAACGAATGAGAAACAGGTGAGCGGAGCTGAGTCGCCTTTTCAGTCGCTTAGAAAGCATGGCAGGTGGTGGTGGTGGGGGGGAAGGGGGGGGGGAAGGGGGGGAGAAGGTCAGAGTTGCGGCTAATCCAGGGATAGTTGGACTTAGAGCAAATCAGTAATAAGTCTTAGGTTAACGGGGAGGTGTACACTGCCGACGACTGAATGTAACACGGATTTCATCTGGCAAATGTCTTTTTATTTAATTAATTTTACTTCTTTACCTGGCAGGGTGTTTGCTTCAGTGGGCGACTCTCTCTCTGTCAGCAATCTCATGCCGTCTCTACTTTGTCAGGTGAGCTTTGATTTGACTCAAAAATCTCATGCCGTCTCTCCTCTGTCAGGTGAGCTTTGAGTCGACTCAAAAATCTCATGCCGTCTCTCCTTTGTCAGGTGAGCAACTATTGCTGTTGCTGCCCTTTGGTCATTACTTCAACACGCATTAATGATGGGAGAATGCGTTTTTCCTTTTGCTGTTGCTGGTGCACATTCAGCACAGAACTCGCTCGCCCTCTCCCTCCACCTCCCCCCTCCCCACCTTTGTTTCACTGTCTCTCTAGGTAGCCCAGCTGCCTCATCAGTGCCTCATCAGTGCCTCATCAGTGCCTCATTCATCAGTCAACCTCCCTCTTGTGCCTCATCCATCAGTCAACCTCCCTCTTTTCTGTGCTTTGTACTACTTCGCTTTGATTTTATTTCTATGCTGTATGCAGCTACATCAAGTCTCACCTGGGACTGAGATTCCTAACCGCGTCATGTACGCAGCGCAAGGCCCGCTCACTAACGTCTGCCACCTGTGCGCTTGTTTGTTCGCTTGTGTTTTACCTCTTCCCTTTCGTTTCCTGTGCGTTTTGCAGCTACACCAAGTATCTCCTGTGACCGAGATTCCTAACAACGGCACATATGCAAAGCAAGGCCCACTCACTAAAGTGTACCAAGTCAAAGCTTACAACGTTACCTTGGTCAACACATGGAGCACGTTTCTCAACGAGTACTGGCAAGACGAACAGGTGAGCCGTTTTTTTCATCCCATTCGTAAGGCAATTCATTCTTCCGACCCAAGTCAGCTCACCACTGTTCCTACCCACTTATCCCTGCCCACTTTTCCCCCTCTTTATCCCTACGCTCTCCCTTTCCTCCTCCTGTCCTTCCCAGACAAGGCAAGCAATACATTGGAGGTGTTGCTTGGGTGTGACACGCCTCACCACTTTACCCTATGCTCCCTCTCCTGCTCTCTCTCCTTCCCAGACAATCCAACAGTACAATGGAGGCGTTCTTTCAACCGACGAGGATTCGGTGGTGAACCTAGACGGGCTTGATGCGCAGTGGGTGATTGTGGGAAGTTTCAAGCTGAATGCTGCCGCACACCCTATGCCCCCCTTATGTTCTCTCCCTCCCTCCCACACGGTTCGACAATACATTTGAGTCGTTGCCTTGACAGATGAGGATTCAGTGGTGAATCTAGATGGGCTCGATGCGCAGTGGATGATTGTGGGAAAAAATCTATGTCAACCTTCCATACCCCCACAATGCCCATATGCTCCCATTGCCCTCCTCATTCCCAGACAGTCCAGCAGTACAACGGAGGTGTTGCCTTAACGGACGAGGATTCAGTGGTAAACCTACTCGGGCTCGATGCGCAGTGGGCGATTTTGAAGATATTCCATGGCAATCGACAGCACCCCTTCCCCTATACTCCCCCTTTCCACCCTCCTTCCTTTTCAGACGGTCCAGCAGTACAACGGAGGCGTTGCCTTAACAGATGAGGATTCAGTGGTGAATCTAGATGGGCTCGATGCGCAGTGGGCGGCTTATATCGAGCGGTACGACGTGCTTATATTGCAGACGCAGGCGCACTGGCAGGCCACCAAGTACAAGTGGCGGCGGTTCTGGGTGAACAGTACCGGGGATCAAATCTTCAACGAGTCTAGGTTCCTTGCTGCTTTTGAGTAAGTGTGGTGCTTTTTTGTTTTCTGCTCTTTGTGTTTGTGCTGGGCCATTTCCTGACTAAGTGTCAATATATGTTTCCAGGTATGGCATGGAAGCCATCAAGAACCTTCTTGACCAACCAGAGGCGCCGGTCACTTATTTTATTTCTGCCCCGGCAAGATTGGATGGATGCAAGGCGTTGAAGGCGCCGTATTCAGATGCACAGGTATTTCGTAATGCTACATCCATGTGCTTCACAGGTGCAATGCATTCATGCTTCCTATACATGAATCATCATTCGGACGCATTCTAACCCTTGTCAATCCTCTACCTGCCCTTCATGCTGTTGCTTTCCAATGAGCACATGCAGGTTGCGACCATTCGCAAGAATAATCGTCAGTTTATTGCTTGGTTGCCAGCACAGAAAAAGGCATTCAATGGCACTCGGATACGAGTGATAGATGTCACAACATCGTCCCTTTTTAGGCCTGATGCCTTTGTTGGATCAGGGGGAGTGAATAAGGATTGTATACACTGGTGCCTTCCCGGCGTTCCTGATTGGTGGGTTGCTATGGTCAATCACTTATTGGCCAATGAGCCCATGCTGGCAGCATAGTTTGTACTGAATGGAGAAAGCGAAATGTGCTGTTTTCTGTTTAAGTTGCAGGCAGCACGGCGAATGACAAAAATACACTACTCGCCGTAGTTCGAATAACGAGTCTGCTGTTTGCGCGTCGTTCTTTCTCTTCATCGATGGTCAATCTAGCGCCGTCGTGCGCTCAAATCGCCCCTTTCTCTCACGAGAAAATCTGAAAAAGCAGCATGAGGATCGCATGTGCGTCGTTTTCCCCCCATCATCTACAATTCGGAATCCTACGCAAGGCTTTTTCCTGTCGTCACCGTAGTTTGCGGGCAAGGCAAAGCCAGAACCTGATGGTTCCGTCGTCCAATCGCTTGTCGCGATAACCTCGGTCAGTTCAAAGACTGACTCAGCAGCAGTAACTTCTGGCGCCATCCAATCAGGTCGAACCGCTCATAGTATCTTGATAATGGTGGTAACTGCTCGACACTTGTCAGACGAGTCACCAAACACACAGTCTCAGCTCGCAAATAGTGCTCAACTGAGTTCTGAGACGTCTCAAGCTCGCAAATAGTACTAAGCTGTTAAACATATTTGACTGAACAATGCCGGTCGCCGGACTGCTATGAGCTTTCGGTCTTCCCAGAGTTTCGTCACCTAACCGAGGCTCGCGAATGGCGACTGCTCGTCGCCCAACCGTCCATCCAGAGTCGCACGTCAAACTACTTCGTTCCTCGACGCTTCATTCCCTAAAAGGCCATCGTCCTCTAACGAATCATCTCCTACCGAATCGTCCCCCAGTAACGCATCGTTCCCTAACGCATCATTCACTAACGCAGCACAATCATGCTTCCACTTTCCTTAGTACCGCCGCTGCACTCCTGATTCTAGCGCTTTTGGTAGCTTCCTTGCCCCTATCGAGTCAAGCCGGCACCCTCGAGAAAGTGACCACAGCGAGGGTGGCTAAAAATAACATGATTACAGCGAGGGCGACTCGGAAGAAGGTGATTACATCGAGGTGCAACTACACCGTCGGGGGATGGCTGCCCGTGACTCCCGCCATGCAGCACGGCGCGTATCGCGCCGACTGCCCCTTCCTCAAGGTGCGCATTCCGTCCCCCGGTTCCCCCGCAGCGGAAGTTCCCCGCAGCGGAAGTTACATCGCAGCGGAAGTTACCCTCTAGTGGCTCCCGCCATGCAGCACGGCGCGTATCGCGCCGACTGCCCTTTCCTGAAGGTGCGCCGAGTTTCGCGCTGCCACCCCCCTTAGGAACGAAAGTTTCTGTTTTTTTTTTTTTTTTTTCTCAGAAAACGTGCTACCAGAGACCCCTCTTGGGGAACGGAGGTACCTCATCTGTCAGCCATTAGATTTCCCTCTGACTCGGAAGCTCCTTTCCTCCGGGCACCACATGTTGCAAGGTCCGCGCCCATTCCCCTCGCGCATACCTCGCGCCCATTCCCTGCGCCCATTCCCCTCGCCCGTAGCTCGCGCCCATTTCCCACGGCCATTCCCCGGACCTTTTCCCTTCCTCGCCTATACCCCTCGCCCACCCGCGCCCATTCCCCGGGCCCATTCCCCACGTCACTTCCCCTTTCGCATGATTCCTTCGCTCTTTTCTGTGCCACTTCCCTCGCTCATTCCGTCATTTGCCCGCACCACTTCCCTTTTTTTCCTGCAGGGCATTGGTCCTGTGAGCTGCTTATCCAACGAGTACAATCCTCGCCCTACCCCCCTTCCCCACCCTCCTTCCCCATCCTCCTTCCTTTTCATTTTCTTCCTGCAGGGCATTGGTCCTGTGAGCTGCTTATCCAACAAGCACAAGCGCCCGTTCCCCTGGCTGGTGGGTTTTGGACATCCTCGTTACTACCTAAACTTATAAATACTTCCAAGCCGACTGGTGTAGAAGCGGTCGAAGGGAATGCATGTGACGATGCATTGGCCAAATTAGTAAGTGCTTCTATAGCGAGTACAGCAGCTGCTTGATAACGAGCCCAAACGCCCCTGCTAGTGGCTGGTGCGTTGGCAAGGGACCTGTTTGTAAGTAATCCGCTAAGAGTGTGTGACATCATTTGTAGAAATTCAGCCTGGCGTTATGTTTCTTTTTCTTTTCAGAGGTACCACCGCTGACAGCCAACAGGGTGCCTCACGCCCCTCTTCCTCCTTATGGCTCCACGTATCTCCTCTTCCTCCTTATGGCTCCACGTATCTCCTCTTCCTCCTTATGGCTCCACGTATCTCCTCTTCCTCCTTATGGCTCCACGTATCTCCTCTTCCATTTTTCTTTAATCTCCTCCTCTCCCGCCCTCCCCATCACCGCAGAGGTTTCTCCTTATGGCAGCCCACAGGGTGCCTCATGCCGCTCCTTTTCCTCCTTGAACTCCGTGTTGGGTTTTGAGAATTCTCAAACACCACTCCGTGTTTGTTTTTGAGACATCTCAAACACCACTCCGTGTCTCGTTTTGAGACGTCTCAAAAAACACCCTCTCTACACGTGGCAAAACCCTCTCCGTGCCTCTCCTCCGCTCACCCTCCTTCTCCCGCTCTCTCTCTTCCCTTGCTCATCTTCCCAACTACCATCCTCCCCTCCCCATCGCCTCAGAGGTACCGCTGGCAGCCCACAGGGTGCCTCACGCCGCTCTTCTTTCGCCCCCGACAATTCTTGAAGCTCATGAGGAACAAGTAGGTGTATGAATGGGTGGGAGGGAGTGGAGAGAACCGGAGAAAGTGAGTCAGCAAGCCTTGAGGGTGCCGCGCGCCGCTCTTCTTTCGCCCCCGACAATTCTTGATGCTCATGAGGAACAAGTAGGGAGCGCGGGTCAATATGGGGCAAGGGAAAAGGGTAGTGAGAGGGAATCAGGGACGATCAGGGGAGGGGGGGGATGGGGAGGCGGGTGGGAGTAATGGTGCGGAGGAATGCTTGGTTCCGATTGGTCGAGTCCCGAGCCTTGTTTGCTCCCGTCCCCTGATGTTCTCATTTTCCTTGTTCTTTCCGTTGTTTGCTCCAGATTGGGGCACACATCTTCTTGCCTTGGTCTTTCTCCCGAACTTTCCTGTCCCAGTCAGTACAGCAACCCCCCCATCCACCCCTATCCGCCCCTATCCACCCCTCTCCACCCCTATCCACCCCTATCCACACCTATCCACCCCTATCCATCCCTATCCACCCCTATGCTGTGTACTCACTCCTCTCGTCTGCCCAACACCCCACCCTTCTATCGTTCTTGCTCAGAGTGTTTGCATCAGCGGGCGATTCCCTCTCCTACTTCAATTTCATTCCATCGCTGCTTTGCCAGGTACTTTCCTTCTAAGCGCCAGGTACTTCTCTTCTAAGTGCCTGGTACTTTCCTTCTAAGCGTCAGGTACTTCTCTTCTAAGTGCCTGGTACTTTCCTTCTAAGCGCCAGGTACTTCTCTTCTAAGTGCCTGGTACATTCCTTCTAAGCGCCAGGTACTTCTCTTCTAAGTGCCTGGTACTTTCCTTCTAAGCGCCAGGTACTTCTATTCTAAGTGCCAGGTACTTCTATTCTAAGTGCCAGGTACTTTGCTTCATGTGCCACATGCTCCCCGCCTCCCTCCCCCTCCCTTCCCCCCTCCCTCCCTCCCTCCCTTTTTGCCAGGTACTTACATTGGAGGTGCCACATACTTTCCCCCTCTTCGTCCTACCCCTGATGGCAGTTGCGCCAGGGATACTCCGTGAATCATACTCATGCATCCACTCAGTTTTCACCTCAAACCACCTCCCTCCCCCTCCCTCCCCCTCCTTCCCCCCTCCCTCCCCCTCCCTCCACTCCAACTCCAGCCCCTCCCCTCATTCCCTTCTGATTTTAGTTGCACCAAGCCTCCCTACTGCATCACATTCTTGCATATGCTCCCCCTCTCTTTCTCCCACCTCCTCCAATTCCATTACTCCTGATGGCAGTTGCACCAAGCCTTCCCACTGCATCGCATTCCAGTTCTCCCCTCTTCTTGCTCCCCACACGAGCCTAGTATACCACGTGCCACAATGCGTGGAGCACAACCCACCCACATAGATGACTTTTGAGTCGACTCAAAAGTCGCCTGGTTTACCACGTGCCACAATGCGTGAAGCACAACCTCCCACCTTTCGTTGCCCCTGCCCAACCCTTATTCTCCTTCCCCCCTCTATGTTGTTCTCCTCTCCCTATCTCCCCACCTTTTTCTTGGTAGTTCCATTAGGCCTCCCCAGTGCATAGCATTCCAGTCCCTCCCCGTCTCGCTCCCCACACCAGCCTAGTCTACCACGAGTCAGGAAACTGCAAGCACAACCGTCCACCCTTCCCCTATCTATCCCAACCCATCCCATCTTCTTCTCCTCTCCCCCTCTCTGATGTTCTCCTCTCCCTCCCCGCCTGCCTTTCAATGGCAGATACACCAAGCCTCCCCAGTGCGTAGCATTCCAGTCCCTCCCCGTCTCGCCCCCCGCACCAGCCTTGTCTACCACGTGCCACAATACAACGTGACTATAGTGAACACCTGGAGCACTTTCCTCAACCAGTGCTGGCAGGACAAACAAACCCTTGCTTTATACAATCACGGCCGCCCGGTCACACCAGAGGATTCGGTGGTGAATATGGAGGGCGTGGACTGGCGGTGGGGTCGATACTTAGCTAAGTACGACGTGCTTCTGCTGCAGTCGGCAGCGCACTGGCAGCCGAAACGCACCAGGTGGCGCCGGTTCTTTACAGACAGACGCGGGAGAATAGCTTATAACGAGTCGCGCTTCTATGACGCGTTTTGGTAAGGTGACTACTGTGCCCGTATGCCTCTCAGGCCCGGCACAGTGTATCTTACAAGTTAAGACCCAGATTTTGATTATGTTCAGGTATTTACACCCACATAATGAGGAGTTTCCATTCTTTGTCCCTCACAGGGCTGGCATGCAGAGTGTAAAGAAGCTGGTGGATCGTGCCAATGACAAGGTGACACGTGGCAGCAGCAGCGGCAGCAACAACAGCAGAGGCAGTAGCAGTGTTGGTGGTTCTGCTGCTGGTGGTAACAAGTGGCCTGTGGTGTTCTTTCTCTCTGCTCCCACAAAGCAAAGCGGTTGTGCTGCTTCTTTTGAGCCTCGCACCGAGGGAGAGGTGAGATATGGGGCATGAAGCAAAAGTCAGGGGGGAGTGGTGTGAGTGTAAGAGAGACACTGGCTAGACTCTTCTCTCACTCTCTGCTCCCACAAATGGGAGTGGCTGTGCTGCTTCTATCCATCCCTGGTTGCTCTCTTCATTCGCTGTTTCTCGTCTCTCTCAGAAAATAACGAACAGTGTTCATAACTTTGACACCACATCATCTGCTCCCCTACACCATCACTTCTTAACCCCACAAGTTTCTTTTTATCCTCCCCTCCCCCACCCCCACTCCCACCCTCTCCCCGCTCTCTCCCTCTTTTTATATTCCAACAATCTCTCTCCCCGTTTTTGCCCCCAGCCCTCTCCCTTATCATCCCCCCTTTCCCTCCCCCCTCCCCCCCCCCAAACAAACCTTTCCGAGTTCCTACTCCAGGCTTTCCTTTACCGACAGCGTAACCCACAGACGTCCAAGTGGCTGCCTCTCCAACGCAAAATCTTTGCAGAGTCTCACATACGCCTTATAGACGTGACCTCCGCGTCAGTATACCGTCCAGACGCGTTTGTCGGATCAGGTGGGGTAAATAAAGATTGTGTGCACTGGTGCCTCCCGGGTGTTCCAGACACGTGGGTTGCAATGGTGCTTGGAGCCATGCTTCAAGAGAGGCGATTGGTCGAATCTATGGGACAAATAAGTCCTCCAGGTATAGGTGGTGGTCTAGGAGTGGGTGATCAAGTTCCTGGTGAGGTGGTGAGGATGGAAGAGGGGAAGAGAAGGACGGAAAATGGGGATGGGGTGTTGGAACTAATTGCTCGGAAAAGGGAGAGCATGTTCTTCCATTTTCATAAGCACAAAACACACTCCTAAATTGCTTACCATCCAATGTCAGGATGTTATCTCCAAAATATGTTATCTCATCCCACTACAAAATGTTTTGATCAGCATCTGTAATATTAATAGCTGTACTCTCTCATGGTTTGTAGCCACCCGACAGCGAAATACCTGTACATGCAGAGTTTTAACAAACAGCGTCGTCCACAGCAGCTCCGCCCACAGTCCCGCTGGGCCTTGGCGAGATGTGTCCACTCCACGGTGTTTCTATTCTGCAGAGCACATGTTTGGGCGTGAGTTGGTCAGTTTGGAAAACAGGTTTACACCTGGTGTAGATGCGCTGTTTGGTTGGACAAGGGCTGCCGGACGCATACAGATTGAGAAACACGTCTTCGGTTGGGCTGTCGCTGGGTACACATGATGCCCAGCCACTGCGCGCGAATTTGCCTATCCTATTTTAGAAACTCTGCACCCGTGTTTTTTTTTTCCTATTCAGTTGCACCCAGGTTATAGGCACGCGGATCAACTTGCATTTGGGCGAGAAAACGCCGAAGTATGAATCTTAGGCGCAAACAAACCATGCTGACCCGGTTTGTTCTTGTTTCTTGGCCAGAAACAAGCATAGACCTTAAACCCTGAACTAACAACAACACAGGCCCACCAGAACTGTTTTGGAAAAAAACAAATGAGTTACAGCCTGTGTTTTTTAGAAGCACCTCAACACCCTGGCGAAATGGGACGAGCTGGGCGAAAAGCTTAAAACATTTATAAGCACGGATTGCAACCCCAGTAGGAATGACTTAAACGGGCATCAGGTGTAGCCGTCCTTGAGGCCACTGGGCAGGTCGTCAGCTGGTACAGCTGGCTGGCTGGCTCGTTGGTTCTTGTTACACACCACCCTGTCAGTGGAATTTTAGGCCGTGGTTTTTTTCGCATGGAATTTGACCATACTGTACAACTGTTTCTGTTCACCCACCTCCTCATAAGAAAGGCACAAATAGCAACGTGGCTGAACGGGAATTTTAACAGGCGCACATGACCCACAAATTTTATGCGACACCCTGAAAGCTAGACTACAAATTAACAGTCGATCGATTTTATCCACTAAGCACTGTATCCTAGATTGCTACCACACTGCGACCCACACATTCAATAGGCATATGATGGGGATGTGGAATGATTTTTTTTGTATGCACTGTACAGTCCAAGCTGCGCAGATTGAAAACAGCAGCAGAAATGCGGCGAGAAAGTTTGGAGAGCAGCATGGAACAAACAGTGTGTGACATGAAACAAACAATGTGTAACAAGTCCTAGTCAAGTCTCAGAACGTCCCTAGGAAATGTTTAATTTTCTGGTTGGGAGGCGACTTGTTGGGAAACACCTTAGTCTGCTTCTTGTGGGTATTTCTGGAAAAAAAAAAAGGTTTCTTGAACAGAATTCCGGGTGCATGGTGAGGAATCAGGATGCCTCGTTTGACTAGGCTACTGTACGAGAGGTCGTTTCTCGCATTCATTCACCACCACACCCGACCCGACCCCACTGAAAGAATGTACAGACGAACTCACGTTACAGTGAACGAAAACCGCGTGGGGTTTGATCATAAGCGACGACGAAGCCCACCAAAGGCAGCATCACTCTTCGCCAACGCAGCGTCGCATCGCACGTCACAGCATCGCCCGCGGGATCACTCGTCGCGTGCGCAACAGTTGTCCAATTTTCTGAAACCTCAGGGGAGTCCTCGACAAAGAAGCCAGCTAGCGTGTACAGTTTGATGCCCACACAGCTGAATCACTCGACTTACAGTTCACTCCGGCTGATAATCTCCACTGTGGACGGGACTCTGTTGATCTTGCTGTTCTCGGGTTTTTAGATATGGTTATCCTTCAATTTAGAGGTTTGGAATGTATGAAATTTATGAAATGCGGTCCTAACACACACACACAATCAATATGTAACATCCGAGCACTACGGTAATCGTAGCTTGGGTCTGACACAGCTCAGAGCCGATTTCCACTTCAGCTTCTCTGGTCATTGTACTATTTCTCCCCGTTTTGAGCCCACTTCGGGTCTTCGGAGGGCCAAACTTCGTGTCGTCGAGCCTGACCTGAGGTGTTAGGTTGCAGTAGCACACTTGAAGGGTGATTACTCCTCGACAAAGCGAGGTGAGGATGGTGGTGGTGCGTCTTGACACGATGTGTAAAAAACTGCGACTGAGGAATTCTGTACAGTTCTACGCACCATGGCTACACCAAAAATCCATACGCCAGCATGTAAGCACAGCATTTCTTCCTTCAAGCTCAACAAGTTGCCCACTCCTGCCTGTCCTTTCACTCCTCCATCCAAGCGCTCCTTCCGTTTCAAGCAATATTGCCATTTGGAGGCTCCTGCAAGTTTTAGCAGAGGGTTTCCACATCCTTCACAAGTTGTGACCTTAAGATTTGTCAAGAGTTTATTTGACACTGACCTAGTATCAGCCCACTGACCTAGTATCAGCCCACTGACCACTGGACTACGTCAAATTCGTAGCTCTCAACATTCCGCGGAGGTATATTGGGTTAGGAGCCACTTCCCAGTCCGATCAATAAATTCGCATAACTAATCACAACTATACCACTTCTTGGCATGGGAACTTTAAGCGGACTTGGAGGCGGTGCAGATGCTTGGGCACCAGATTCGTCGTGTCCCTCCGTAAAACAAATGGTAGAAGACTCTAGTGGTTTTCGCTGGCAAAAGGTCTCTCATAAATGGCTCTGCCAACGGACTGTGAAGAGGTGAGAACGGGGAATCTTCTGCTTGACCCTGGAGATGAAAGATGCCGTCAACCTGGAAGTTACTACTACTAGTAGTACTTCACTAGAGGCTGTTCTCCCATGATCTTCCCACCAGAATTCATGCTGAGTGTGCACAAAAGCTGCGTACTCAGCGTTACCCACTCTACTAGCAGGATACCTCCCCCCTCCGCCCAGCATCTACCTCACGTGTGTGTGCAAGGCCGTTCAAATGAGGCGACCGGAAAACACCGAATCGCCTCCCACTTTTCTACGCTCCCATGACCCCCCTCCCCTCTCTCCCCCTCCCCTACCCCCGCCTCTCTCTCTCCCCCCCTCCCAGGACCTGCTTCTCGTGTGTGCGCAAGGCCGTATAGATACAGAGAATGACTCCCTCTCTACTGCTCCCATGCTCCCCCCTCCTCCCCCTCCTGGATCTGCTTCACGTGTGTGCGCAAGGCTGTAAAAATACAGAGAATGACTTTCTTTTTACGTCTCCCATGCTCCCCCCTCCCCCCTCCCCCTCCTCCTCCCAGGATCTGATTCAAGTGTTTGCGCAAGGCCGTAAAATTTCTGAAAATGACTCCCTCTCTACTGCTCCCATACTCCCCCCTCCTTTCCCTCCTTCTCTCCCTCCCATCAGGATCTACGTCACGTGTGTGTGTGTGTGTGTGTGTGTGTGTGTGTGTGTGTGTATGTGTGTGTGTGTGTGTGTGTGTGTGTGTGTGTGTGTGTGTGTGTGCAAGGCCGTCACAGGACGCACACTCACTAGCTTGCGTGTCATCCCTTATGTCTACCTCTCTCCCATGATTCCCATCCCCCTCCCAGGATCTACTTCTCGTGTGTGTGCAAGGCCAAGTCGACTCAACAATCCACTCTCCCTTGACCCCCTTCCCTGTCCCCCCTCCCTCCATTAACCAGGATCTACTTCTCGTGTGTGTGCAAGGCCGTCACGGGATGCACGGCGCGGAAGGTGGAGGACCGCATGCCCGGCCCGCCTCGCGGCAAGCACACCGCGCCACCCACCGCCGCCACTGCTGTGGTAAATGCCGCTGATGTTGCTGGTTATGTACCGGCCTTTGCTTTGGACGATGAAGAATGCTCAACTCGCCCCAAGCGTGTGGAGATGTGTAAGAAGGAAGTTTTTCATTCATCTGCCCGCGTGGGGATGGAAGATATCCCTTCATCTGCCCGCATGGAGATGCGTACAGTGGTGCGGCTGACGACCTCGGGGTTCCACAACCACCCTTCCTCTCTGTGTCTCAAGCGCCGCCGCCGCAGAGACTCCACGGAAGGAAGCACCGCAGCTGCTGCTTCAAAAGAGGAGAAGAGCAACAATGAACCCCTCTCTGGCCTCTGGAAGCCTCACGCCGACCCAGCGAGTCATGCACCGACTTCGAAACGCCACCTAGAAAATCCTTCCAAGGCATCACGGACTGGACAGTTCAAGCCAATCCCTCCATGGATTTCCGACGTGCCATCCCACAGGTCCGGAAAAATTATGGGCGCTTCTAGTGAAGCAGCCACTGGCCTTATCCCGTCCTATGGCATCGGCTCTCTTGTTCAAGTTGAACCCAAGGAGGCTCTCACTTCCCCTGCGCCTGCAGTCCTCTCGCAGAGGAGTTGTGTCTCAACGCCGCGGCAGAGGGCGTTCAGAAGCGTGTGTGAGCAGATCATGGCGCTTAGCAAAGAGCCAGCTGAGATGAGATACGAGCCTCCAAAGCGGCAGCGGGCAACCCGTGTGGAATCTGAGCCGGATGGTCAAGGGGAGAGCCCCCGCACCAGCTGCTGCCACGTGGGGCCCTTACCTGCTGTTGGCCGTGCTGCATCTGCTCCTCAGTTCCAAACAGCAACCCGCGCCACTCAAGGAGTCCAACAGAGCAACCCCGGACCGCCACAGTGCTTTCCGAACCAGTTCCTGAGCCCGGCAGGTCCGGCGGGCCCAACTGGCCGGTCAGGGCCAGGAGAACTGGCAGAACCTGCAGGTGTGGCAGCTTCAGCCTTCCCTACACACCCAGCAGGGCAAACAGCCCCAGTAGCCTTGGTAGCTGCTCGTCCGCACGACTGGAAGATTTCAGCCCATCCTAAGGCTGTCGAAAGCAGAAACTGTGAGGTTGCGATGCTGCTGGGGGAGCTTCTGACACCGGCTGAATTGGATGTCGTTCTCTCAAGGATGGCCCAAAGGCTAGGGCCGCCAGAGAAAGGGGCCCCGCAGCATGACGGCGTGGACGACTGGAGCAGTGCCTGCGTGCATACGTCGCGAGGTGTTGGCGTCTGCATGAGCAGCAGCAGCAGCTTCGGTGGTGTTCCAGGCATGGGAGGCCAGGCTCTCGCTGCAGTTGCCGGTGCTGCTGGTGGTGATGGTGGTGCTGGTGGTGCTGGTGATACTGCAGCTTCAGTACCTGCAGCCGCGGTCAATGCTTCAGCCTCGGTGGTGACAGCAATCGTAGATTCCCACAGTCCTGCTCCTGCTTCTGCTGCTGCTGCTGCTGCTGCTGCTGCTGCTGCTGCTGCTGCTGCTGCTGCTGCTGCGGCTGCGGCTGCTATGCCCAACTCAGCAGAGGTGCTGCATGCGCTAGGTGCATGCAAGGGCACTGACTTTTCTTCTCAGACTCAAGTAGCAGTTTCACCACTACCAGAACCCCTGCCATGTGCACCTGCTCCTACTGTTGATGCCTGTACTGCTGCCGCTGCGATAGTTGCTGCTTCAGCTGCCGCTGTTACGGTTGGTTGTGACTCCACAATCAATAGGTCCGTGTCTGCCTTATTGAGCACCAAGGAAGCTGCCCCCCTGGATTCATTGTCCAGCATCAGCAACGAGGTAAGCAACGCTTCTTTGCCTCTGATTTTCCTGCTTACTTTGCCCCCCCCCCCCCCCCCCCCCCCCCCCCCCCCTCCCCCCCCCTTTTTTTTTTCTTGTTGATTTGTGTGTTCTAGCGATGTCTCGCTTCTAAAGTTTGACACCCTGTTCCCTCCTGTGCTATTCTTTGATTGCAGATTATGCAACGCGTACTCACAGCACTGGCTAACTCGACAAATCGTACTCTGACCTATCCTACCCAAACTCATAACTCCCTGACAAACCGTGTCCCGATCTATCATGCCACAACCCAGCGGGGTCTATCCCATTCATCGCCATGCCAGCACGTCCCATCGCATCACACCTCCTCCCACCCCACACCATCCTGTAACACCGCGTACCATCGTGCCCCTCAAGCTGCAGCTCGTTCGGTGCACTCAAGTGTGGATTTGGTGCCAGCAAGATCACCAGTACTGTCATCTACACTGGTGCTGCCAGCAGGACCTCTGCTACAGTCACCTGCAGATATATTGTCAGAAAGACCACCAATAAAGCCACCTGCATGGGTGCTGCCAGCAGGATCACCTGTGCAGCCACCTTCGTCAGTTTCACAAGTGGAAATGCTTCAGTCCCTCACCCTGGACCAGCCACAAGCAATGGACTTGCTTCTATTGCAATTGGCGACAGAAATTCATGCATCAAGCCTTGTTTTGTCACCAACAGCAGCACCAATAGCAGCAGGTGCAGCAGCACGAGAAACAGCAGCACCACCAGCATCAGGAGCAGCAGTAGCAGCAGCATCAACCGTAGCAGCAGCAGTGACAGCAGCAGTACCACCAGCATCACCATTCGCAGCAGCAGCAGCAATTGCGACAGCAGCAGCAACTGCGACAGCAGCAGCACCACTACCAGCACCACGACCGCCAGCAGAAGCAACAACAGCAACAGCAGCAGATAAACCAATGTATTTTCCTGCACAAACTCATGCCACGATGCATGTCCCAAGCCTGGTCGCAGCAGCACCAGGAGCCACCGCAATGCAGCTCCCACTACAGTCACAAATGCAGGCCCGACAACACATGCTATCCGCTACAATCACATCTGCTCAGACATTCTTGCAGCAAAAGGACAGCACGTGGGAAGGTCAGATGTGTGGCCAGATTGCCATGGGTGGTGCTCAGATTGGCAGGTGTGACGGTCAGGCAGCCATGGGGGATGGTCGGATTGCTATGGAGTCCTTCTGGGGACAGCAGCAGGCTGGAGAAAAGGGACTCGTGCCGCCAGCCATGGGCAGCGTTCCAGAGGACGGGAAGGCGCTGGAGAGTTTTGACAGATTACTCGAGACAATGTCCTTCCATGGCAATGATCTACCCGAGTGGTCCGCACTTGCACAACCTCTAGATGAATATTGGTTGGAGAATGCGCCTTTGATTGACTTGAGTTGATGTGGAGAGGTGTGGTGACAAGCGGTGTATGTGTGCAATACTTAGCTAATAAGCGGTGGAAACGCCAACACATTATAATCAAATATTAGTTGATTATAACGTTTTGTTAAGGCTTTTGTGTCGCTTTATCATGCCTCTTATCAGTGGTGCAAGACATTTTATGAATTTAGACCCAACTATCATGCTGTAAAGTTAAAGCCCTGCAGGAGGGAAGGGCTTGTTGTCAGGTTTGTGGTTCGGTCCATGCGTGCCGTAAGGGGTCGAGAGTGGTGCGGGTGAAATTCCGATTTGCTCCATGAGTGTTTCGACGCATTGAAGCGGAGAGGTGAATTGCTTCAAGGGTGTAGGAGATGTTGAACTGTAAAAATTGTGTCACTGTACGACATCAAGCAGGCGCCTCAACTGTGGCACAATCACCTAAATAAAATCTTGCCTGGCATCAGCTTCACTCAGGTATTGCATAAACGTAGGACGTACCACTTACACTTTTGCTGATATTACAACAGAACGAGCAAATCCTTGCTCGTCATGCACCCCGGAATTCCCTTCGTCGTAGGTATGCAGCTGCTCTACACCGACTACAGCGTCGATGCGTACTGGAACACATTCTTCACATCGATCTGTCAGGGTGGGAGGTGCTTGGCAGCGGCGATGGCGAGTAGAATTCGGACGGAGGTATGACGGCTCGGGGCGAATGTTGGATCGAAATGAATCTTGTGGCATTTGTCGTGACCGCGCACAAGGCCAAGGTATACGGGACTCCAGCGCTTCAAAGTGCTGAAGCGCGCAATCGAACCGTCAGCGCCGGGTTTCACGCAAAATCCCACATCCTTCATAGCACCCTCCCTCCTTTTCCTACAGCTCAATCCACAACAACCATAGTGTAAAGGGACTCCAACTCTTTCTGTTCGGCATCCATGGCTGCCCGCCATTCCTTGCTGTGGGGTCTCAACAGAGCTTGCCTTGGTGTTTTTGGCTTGATGACTCGTGGGGACGTGGTTGTTGCAGTGTAAAGCCCGAGCAGTTGGAGTTTGAAGACTGTCGTGGCGTCCCTGGTTAGCAATTTCCTGCACGTCGTTTTGTCCCTTTCAGGTGTAGGTCGGGGCTTCGCCATGGATAATTGTCGTGTGATGGTCCTGGTGGTGCTTCATCATCAACATCGTTGTCTTCGTCGTGAGGCCGATGATACGAGTCGGGATGCTCATCAGGTGAATTTTGATCAAGGATTTGCGGATGCGGTTTGATCTTTGGGGGTGCAAAGCAGCTTTTCCCATGTGCATACGCTGTTGCTGCTCTTGCCGTATCTGCTCATAACTTGCTCCGCGAGGTTGAGTATTTTGTAGAACGGGCTCTTGCTCTCCATGTCGATGATCATCCAATCTTTGTATTCGTAGTTGATGCTGAGGCAAATTCTCTATCGCACGCGGCTTGCGAACTTTCCGGTGGTGGCGGTTGCGGGCATGCACTGCATCATGCAGCCCCATACGCATACCATTAAAATGTCTCCATTCTTTGCTATCCACTTGACGTGGGGTGAAAGGTTTTCGGTAATTGTCGTGGTGGAGAAAATACTGTAAAGCAGCATTTCATGATGCAAAGTATATGCCCTGTAGACATGGGGGGGATATTGACTTCTTCAGTAGCACCTGCGCTTTTGTCATGGCTCCGCGGTTGGGGCGCTTGGCGACGACCTGCGGATGCGCGTAGGAGAGAGAGTGAGATGTGATGCAGAATCTTTTATTCGCAAAGGAAGTCCTGCATTTCCTTGCTGCGAAACTCTACAACACGTCTGCCAACTTTGCAAATTCTCTCTAGATTGCCACTACGCATGAGCCAACCTTGGGCGGAGCACTTTGTGCACCCTGTTGCGATATTGTAAGTTCGCTATCCAGATGTAGGGTGTGCTGGTGTCAATGAGCCGCTATCATGAGTAGCTTTTATCATTGAGGCAGCTGAAGCCGATGATGAGAAAAGCGTTGTACACTCTATACTACTTCAGTTACCGGTTGGCGCTAGGTTCAAGCAGGGAAATGGACAGTTGAGTGAGCATGGCTTTAGGACAGATGGAGAAAACACGAGGCGGTGTTCTGTTTCTGAGTTAGGTTTCATCAGGGTCCAGTATGGCTTCAGGTGCGAACACTTCATCATTGATGTAGTTGTTGAGCATTTGACACGAGTGTCCGAGGGGTTGATGCCAGAAATCATCATTTATACAAATACTGTTAACTGGAATGGAGTGTTGGCCCCGGCCTTGCTTGGGCAACGCCAACGTCCTAGTCGGGTACATGGGAGAAGCAGCCGACTCTTCGCAGTGAGGGGGCTGCTCGACGGGCTTCGTCGAGCTGCAAGGATCACTGTGGTGTAGTTGTCGACCAAGGGTGCTCAACGGTAGCAGCTGACTGGGCAGGTCGATGGGTGGGCTGTCGACTAGGAGGAGCAGTTCGACAGGGAGGTCGACGGAGCAGTCCGTTGACCTGATACGAGAGCAGCAGTCAACGAAGGGAGCTCGGCGATAGTGGTTGCAGTGCAAGTCGACGTGTCAGAATGAACAAGAGTGATTGCACTAGGAAAGCGTTGGGTACAAGTAGGAAACCCTAAACTTACTGTACGCCATAGTAACTACCCCACTACAGCCTAAACAAACTGTAGTAGACATAACATTTGACACACCCCCATAGGCAAAGTGGGGGAGAGCAAGGGGTCACAAGACCAGTAAAGAAAGGCAAAGCAAGCTCAGGGTGGATCACAACGTCACCACACACTCTGAGCACAAGCAAAGGGCCACAAGGCCAGTCCACATGCAAAGGCATATATGCAGCACAAACAGCACAGTGATCTCTACCTAGCAAAGCAAGCATGCAGGTGTGTATATATATAGATCACAGTACAAGCAAAGCCTACAGCAAGTGAGGAAAAGTGGGCACAAGCCTTGTTGTCGACGTACAGCACTGGAGGAGAATGAGGCCGCTCTCCCAAGTCAGTCAGCAGGTAGGTGAGCTAGCGTAACTCCTGTGCAGCCATGGCTGTGGTGTAGATCTCAGCCTCACAACTGGAGCTGAGAACTGAAGACAAACGTGTAGAACGCCAAGAAACTGAACCAGAGCCAAGGCTGAAGGTGTAACCCTGTGACGACCGCTGCGTAGCCTGGTCGTCAACCCAAGAAGCGTCTGAGTGCCCAGTGAGGACAATTGAGCTCCTCCCTCCAAGCACGAGTCCCATGCCTGATGTACTGCACAAGTAGCGCAGTACCCTCTTAGCAGCATCCATGTGCACCTTTCGGTGTCGACCAGGAGCCACGTAGCGAGCGAGAAGGCCAAGAGGGTACGCGAGGTCAGGATGAGTGCAAGTCATCAGGTACATGAGATAGCCAACTAGCTCTGGGTAAGGACCACTCGGCTCTACGGACTCGTCCGAAGGTGGAGCTGAGAGCGAGTGACCTGTAGCCAGAGGAGTGGCCTGTGCCGAGGACCAAGTGAAGCCGAAGCGCTGAAGGACCTGCTGCACCATGTGTGACTGAGTCATTGTGATGGTGCGGCGTGCTCTGTCCCAGGTGATATGCAAGCCAAGGTAGCTACGCAGTTCACCCAGGTCTGTGCACGTGTGTCTCTTTTGCAGCTCCAGCTTCACCAGGGCGAGAGCCTCAGTGTTAGCAGTGGCAAAGACCAAGTCGTCGACGTACACCAGGATGTAGAGCGGCGGCAGCGAAGTGTCGGTGCGCGGAAACAACGACGGGTCAGCAGTAGAAGGCGCGAACCCAAGAGCAGCAAATGTAGTCCTCAGTGTGTCGTGCCACTCACGTGGCACCTGGCGGAGACCGTAGACCGGCCGCCGGAGGCTCCACTGGGTACTAGGAGGGAACGACCCAGTGAAGCTAGGAGGGCGGCGTAGCCAGATCTCCTCGTGCAGGTTGCCCTGCAAGAAAGCTGTGCTGAAGTCAAGAGAGTGAAGCTCGTAGTCACGCTGAGCGGCAACGTTCAGTAGCACCCAAAGAGTGGTCATCTTCAAAGTGGGGGAGAAGGTCTGGAAGAAGTCTATTCCCTCTCGCTGACTGAAGCCTCGAGCAACGTAACGAGCCTTGAAGACAGGCGGAGAACCCGGCGGCTGCTTCACCTTGAAAATCCACATGCCATTGATGATGTTCGCCCCAGGAGGGGGAACCTCATCGACGTAAGTGCCAGTGGACTTCCAGGATGCCATCTCTGCGTCCATGGCTGTCTGCCATTAAGAGGAGTGATCACCCACGATCGCCTCAGCGTAAGAGCGCGGGGTCGGGATGTCTGGTGCATCCGGGTCTCCCTCAGGTGCAATCAGCATGGACACAAGATAAGGTACAGCGGCGGCAAAGCACTCAAACTCCTCCTGCCTGTCCTCAAGGACGTCCGTGCCAAGAGCACACTCACCCCCGACGGACGGAGGATAGACAGACTCAGACCCAGACTCAGCAACAAGACTCGTAGCGTAGTCTAGACGACAGTGAGCAGCAAGGTCGACAAGCTCAGCAACTAAGGCAGACGCAACAGCTGACTCAAAGGAAGGGTCAGTGACAGCAGTGGCCAGGAGATGCGTGACAGTAGGACTAGCAGCACGAAGAGAGTCAGACTCCGGGTCAGCAAGGGCAGGAAGAGAGGACGCAGGAGGAGAAGACAGCGGGACATGCTGTGGAGCAGTGGAAGGACGAAGCGCCTTCTGGTGAGTGCCTAGGACAGCAGGAGGACGCTGACGCGGGACACGACGACCAGTGCGAGCAGCACGAACAGGTGATGCAGACCGAGACTTAGGCGACACAGGACGAGACTCAAGCTCACGACGCTCTGTAAGACCGCCAGTCGGACCAGTGTAGGGAGAAGGACTGGGGAGTGGCGAGGCAGGCGGTAGCTGTGACAACGACTGGACAGGCGGAGGACACTCTAAGGAGGGAGCAGGACAAGGAGGAGGCGGCTGACCAAGAACCTGCTGAAGGAGGGGAACGAAGTACGGTTGTGGCCGTGAAGTGCCCCCAGAACCAGCAGAGACATCACCAGAACCTCCAGCAGCAGCTCCAACTCGCTCAGCACCACCAGCAGCTCCAATGCCTCCAGCAGCACCAGTTGCACCTCCAACAGGACCAGCACTAGCAGCACCTCCAGCAGCACTAGTACTTCCAGCAGCACCAGCCCCAGTACCAGCAGCACCACCAGCAGCTCCAGCAGCTCCACTACCTCCAGCAGCACCAGCAGCACCTCCAGCTCCCACAACACCACGGCGGCGGCGACAGTACCGAGAGTACCACTCACGCATCTACTGGGAAGAGAGAACGCCTCCAGGCGCAGTACCCCCAGGCTCAGGACCTCTAGACTCAGCACCCCCAGGGACAACACCCCCAGTCTCAGCCCCCCCAGGCTCAGCACCCGCAGTCTCCGCACCCCCAGGCTCAGGACCCCGAGTCTCCGCACCCCCAGGCTCAGCACCCCCAGTCGTAGTACCCCCAGACCCAGCACGCTCAAGCTCAGCACGCTCAGGCTCAGCACGCTCAGGCTCAGCATGCTCAGTACCTCGCGCAGGACCAGAGTCGAGAGCTACCTCGACAGGTTCGACTGGGTCTACCTGGGAAACACCTGAGGGAGCAGGACCACGGGGAGGCAGGGGGTCTACCGAAGCAGCACCTGGCGTGAGGAAGAGCGACGGAGGGGGGAGCGGGGCAGTGCGGTAGGGGAAGAGACGGTAAAAGGTGACCGACTTGTCAAACGTGACGTCCTGAGAGGGGAAGACACGGCGCGAGGTGGGGTGGTAAAACTGCTAGCCAGGCACGTCAGGGACAAAGCCCAGGAAGATACAAGGAACGGCACGGGAGGAGAGCTTGTCCGCGGACGTATCGCGGACAAAGGCACGAGATCCCCAGACACGGAACACAGACGCATCGCCAACTGCTCCCGTCCGACGCAGTGTCGGCGAGGTCTCCGGAACGGAGACATGGGGCCAGAGGTTGAGCTGATGCGCGGCGTACCGGACCGCAAACGGCCACAGAAAATGGGGGGCAACCGCATGGATCAAGGAGGTACGAGCGACCTCCATGACCAAGCCAATGCGGCGCTCAGCAACCCAAGTCTGCTAAGGAGAGGCCGGAAGCGTGAATGTCTGCTCAATGCCCTCCCCCTGACAGAAGGCCTCCAAGAGGCCGGAGGAAAACTCACCACCTCTGTCAGAGTGCAGTCGTAGGACGGGAAGGTCCGTGCAAAAGCGCCTCTCCAGCTGGAGACGAGTAGCGCGGATCCAAGGGATCAAGACAGCAGGGACCTCTCCCTAGGTGCGCAAGGGGAAGACCGTGGTGTAGCGCGTGTAGTCGTCAACTACCAGGAGGAAGTAGCACTCTCCGCCCTGCCCACAGACACGGGCTGGGCCCCACACGTCCATGTGAAGGGTCTGCAGAGGAGCCTCCGTCGAGGGGAACTCAGAGGAGTGAGGAGTGGCACGTTGCCGCCCCTCGACATAGGGAAGGCAAGGAGGGGCAGGGGACGGTGGCAGGGGAGGCAGTGACCTGGGGAGACCAGAGACAAGGAAACGAGAGTGCATGCCACGAAGGCACTACATAGAAGGGTGCCCAAGGCGGTGGTGCCAGAGGATCGTCCGGTGTGACAGGGTGCGACACGAGCAGGAGGCGGACAACTGACCTGACGCAGACGCAGACGCCGTTACCTGAGGGGACTCAGTGGTCAGTGTGTACAAGTCCGACCCCGGCTGCCGAGTGAAGGTAGCGAGGTGACGACCCGTCTCGGCACATGTGCAGTGTGTCACATGCTCGTAGGCAGGGGTGAACTGGTGAACACCCACGTCCTCGAGCGCGGAACCCGCCACCAAGTTCGTAGAGAACGAGGGGAGGTAAAGGCCCGACAGTGTGCCGGACAGGACAGCAGGACAAGGGAGGGCAGTGGTGGAGGTTGCAAGGGCCGGACCCCTGGAGGGGAGAGCCAGGGAGACAGCAACCGGCCTAGGGAGCTGCTCGAGGGCAGTGCGGTCGCAAAAGAAACAGCGGGAAGTGCCTAAGTCCAGTGTGAAGGTGTGCAGTGCCTCAGTAGACGCAGTACCTGAAGGCGCAGACTCACAAGCACCTGAAGCAGCAGGCACATCTGCACCTAGAGCAGCAGCCTCACCAGGACCAGGGGCAGCAGACGCACTAGCACCTAGAGCGGCAGCCTCACCGGCACCTGGAGCAGCAGACTGGATACCGGGGTGAGGCGGTACACACAAGTGACAGGCTCCCTCGGCACTAGTAGACACTGCATACATTGCAATGAGAATAGCATCATTGTCAAGAGAAGATATCTACCCTCTGCCTAAGCAACTCCACCCAGTCGGGGAGCTCAGCGTCGTCGCCAAACTCTGTACGCCAAGCTTCGCTCAGACGCGCGAAGCAGCGGGACTCTGTGTGATCACGCGACCTGCAAGGCTGACCAATCCAGACACCCGTGCTAATAACGTACGGGCAGCGAGCACTACTCAGCGACCCTCTACTCTGAGCGTACCACTCACGAAGCTGCTGGGGCGAAAGAGTCTCTCGTGGACGACGCTGCTGCTGCACAGGGCCACTACAAGAAGCTCCTGAACTACCCACTCCAGGACGACTCCCACTACTGCCACCCCGACAACCCCAACTGGCGTACCACTCACAAAGCTGCTGGGGCGTAAGGGACACACGCGGATGGCCTTGGAGCTGCATCTGGCCACGCCAGGAGCATTAGTAGAAGCAGGAGCAGTAGGAGCAGCAGTAGCAGTAGCAGCAGGGGCAGGGTAGTGCTCACCAGTGGTGGGAAGGGCAGGCGCACGACGGAGGCGACTGCGGGGCCGCTACAGCGGCACGGACAGGGCCGCGACGGACGCTGCTGCAAGGGCGGCTGCTCTAGGGGCCAGGGGCAGCTCCTGCAGTGGCGGCTGCTCCAGTGGCCAGGGGCGGCTGCTGCGGGGGCAGCCACTCCAGGGGCCAGTGGCGGCTGCTCCAGGGGCCAGGGGCGGCTGCTGCAGGGGCGGCTACTCCAGGGGCGGCTGCTCCAGGGGCCAGGGGCGGCTCTTGCAGTGGCGGCTACTCCAGTGGCCAAGGGCGGCTGCTGCAGGGGCGGCCGCTCCAGTGGCCAGGGGCGGCTGCTGCAAGGGCGGCCGCTTCAGGGGTCAGGGGCGGCTGCTGCAGGGGCGGCTGCTGCAGGGGCGGCTGCTCCAGGGGCGGCTGCTCCAGGGGCCCGGCGCGGGGTAGGGCAGGGCGATGCGGCGGGCAGGGGCGACGCGGCGAGCAGAGCAACGCGGCGGGCAGGGGCGACGCCGTGGGCAGGGGCGATGCAGCGAGCAGGGCGACGCGGCGGGCAGGGGCGATGCCGCGTCAGCAGCTGGGTGCGGCCGCGTCAGCAGCAGGGCGCGGCCGCGTCAGTAGCAGGGCGCGGCCGCGTCAGCTGTAGGGCTGGCCGGGCCGCGTCACAGCAAGGCGGGGCCGCGACTGCGGCCTGACGGGGCCGCGACTACGGCCTGGCGGGGCCACGACTGCGGCCTCACGGGGCCGCGACAGCGGCCTGACGGGGCCGCGACTGCGACCTGACGGGGTTGCGTGCTGGTCTGACGGGCCTGCAGAGGCTGCGTGCGGGTGGCGAGGGCTTGCAGGGGCGGCGCGCGGCCGGGCAAAAGCTGCGCGCGGGCGGCGTGGTCCTGCAGGGGCAGCACGCCGACCTAACCGGCCTGCAGGGGCGGCTCTCGGGCCTGACGGGCCTGCAGAGGCGGCTTAGGGGCCTGACGGGCCTGCAGAGGCGGCTCAGGGGCCTGCAGAGGTGGCTCGGGGGTCTGACAGACCTGGAGGGGTGGCTCGAGGGCCCTACTAGCTTGCAGGGGCGGCGCACTGGCCTAGGGCAGCAGGAGGCAGCGCGAGGGCTGCAGCACGGCGCGCAGGCAGAACGAAGGGCGGGGCGCGCGAGGGCGCACTAGCAGAAAAAAAAGGGGGGCGCACGAGGGCGCACGAGCAGAGAAAGGCGCACGAGGGCGCACGTAAGGTAGGGCGCACAAGGGCGCTTCTAGCGGAATAGTGGGCCCGTAGGAGTAAGCGGTCCTAGGTGGCAACCTAGGCTCATGATACCATGTCAGAATGAACAAGAGTGATTGCACTAGGATAGAGTTGGGTACAAGTAGGAAACCCTAAACTTACTGTACCCCTTAGTAACTACCCCACTACAGCCTAAACAAACTATAGTAGACATAACATTTGACACGACGGAGGGGTCCGTCAACCAGGATGTTGCTCGACAGGAGCTATGGTCGACGAGGGAGTCGTCGACTAGAGCACTGGGTGGTCGACGAGCACGTACAACTTCTGGTAGACTTTCCCCGAACAAGTCGACACTGACCTGGTAGTGTCCAGGTCAACCAGATAACTTCCTCGACGAGTTCTGCGGAGGCACGCGAACGTCGTCGAGGTCGCAATGATGAAGGTGACTTCGGGCTAGTATCTCGAAGGCTCGTCAAACACAGACAACAGCCGACGGATGCACAGCAATGCAAGTCGGGCCAATCGTCTGCGGCGCACCTACTAGCGTGCGCACTGCTATCTTCAATGGGGCAACACCAAACAATCGCTCCGCTACAGCGTTGGCCCGCTCTGCTGTTGGGTTGGCATGCCATCGACCTGCTCTACTGTGCTGGCGCGACTCCTCTACGCAACGCTAGCAGGCGGTCGACCAAGCTGTGCTGGCATTCGACCATGCTTGCTGCAGGGTTGCTAGGTGCCTGATGTAGCAATCAGTCATTTCTGTCATTGCTTGTTTAATCATTATGTAATTCCAACTTAGCTATCAGAAACTCTTGCCAAAATCTCCTGTGAATGTGCAAGTGCTAACAAACATAGGCAAAGCTACGATTTCTTGCCAAAATCTCTTGTGAATGTGCAAGTGCTAACAAACACAGGCAAAGCTACGATCACTCCTAGAGTTCGTGCCAACCCCCCGTAGTCTAGCTCACGACCATTGTAGAGTAAATCTCCGCATAGTGCGGTGAGCGAGGACGGCCCCGCTGATTACCTTCAGACAGGAGCCGACTTTTGCACCTAATAAGTCGTTCGTAGGCCGGCAGCCGCGTTAGTCGCCATGGTCGACCCCGTAGCTAATGCGGGAGTAGCAGATACCTTGGACACCTTGGAGGCACGCTTGGCTGATATGCGGAAACGCATTGAGGACGGAGAGTACGGGACGTTCCTCTGGGCGATCGTGAAATTTGGCGTCCAGGCGCAGTGGGCAACGGAGCACCCTTCCCATCCTGCATCTCCTCGACCGATACGAAACAAAGGTGGCGTCGACGACGGGGTCAATGGCGGTGCATGAGTCAGCAGCAACGATGGCACGAAGTAGAGAAGGGTGATCAAGTCGACGGCGGCGTCGACAGGAGTCAGGCGTGAGTGCAGCGGTCGACGGCGGCTGCAGGCAACTCGCGTGCCGACGTCGATGGTCGGCGTCGCTCTCCTCTACGAAATGGTGGAGGGTCCTTGGCGACGACGCACGTGACGGCTGGCGGGATCGCTCCTGCGTATGGCTACTTCAAGTTTTCGCTGGACCGGATCACCGTCATACCGCTGCAAGGCCGGTCGACGGGATCTCATCACCTGGATTGGGTCAATAGAACCTCAGTTGGAGGTCATTGGGCTGAAAGGCTTCGCTGACGGCACCGTGCCAATTCCGCCCGAGGAAGATGTCGAGCTGCGCGGGGAGTTTCGTGCTACTCACTTACTCACCTTCATGGTCGTCTTGAAGTGCTGCTCGCCGGTGGTGCAGCTGGCGCTCAGGAGCTGTTGAGAGCGACTGGATGCTGGTCACCAAGCATGGCACTTCATCTTGTTGACGTATCAGGCGAAGGACGACCTGTACATCGGACTGCTGGAGGAGCAGATAGCATATATTTGGATGGGCAAGCAGGAGTCAGCGATGGACTACTTCAACCGTGCTCGACGAATCCTGGCTGAGATGCGCATAACGGGCACCGAATACTCGACGACGTCCTACATCACCCACGTCATCAAGGGCCTGCCGCGCAGCTACAACTTCATGAAGAGGATGATGATGGTGCCCAGCACGCGTGAGTTCTTTGACGATGACTCCATCACCAGCTACATCTTTCAAGACGATACTATGCAGGAGGCAGAGCAGACCACGGAGCTCCTTCCGCAGGCAAGTTATGCTGCACCGACGAAGCAAAATCGTCAACAGGAGCAACGCAGGAAGCCGGGTAGAGGTGGTAGCGGAGGTGGGCGGTCGATGAAGGACGTCGACGGGAAGAGGTCGATGCGGGGCAAGGGTCGTCGAGGTGGTGGTCGACGGCAGGAGTGCTGGATCTGCCATGACGCCGACCATCTATTCTACAGTGCCTCGACCATGACGACAGCGACGAGGACGACAACAAGGGAGGCCACAGTCAATCGATCAGCCGCGCCCGCGTCGAGATGAGAAGCCGCGCAAGGAGAAGCAGACGTCGAAGAAGACGTCGTCGACGAAGGACGCCGACAACTCCAGCGGCAAGGGTTGAGGCGACGGGGAGGCATCGTGCTCGATGGTCGGCATGATGGATTTGGCAGTCTCGTTGGTGCTGGAGGCTGGCAAGGACTTTCAGGCGGTGGCGGCAGCTGTATAGGCAAACCCGATGGCGGTGCTGCTGGACAGCGGTTGCTCCCACCACTTGATGGGGACGAAGGCGGTCTTCGTCGACATGGCGCCGAGCGATAGTTTGAAGCACGTATGCGGCTTCAATGGGGCGTTGCAACCTGTCGAGGGTCGTGGAACCGTCGCTCTGCAAGGGGAGGACGTGAAGCAGGTCCTCATCCCAGACGTGCTCTACGTTTTGGGAGTACAGGTGAACCTGCTGTCAGCTGGCCAACTGTAGGAGAGCGGAGTGCAGTTGCAGAGCGGCGGCAATGCGATGCTACTCGTCGCCGCGACCGGGAAGGTGCTCAGTCGAGCACGCTACACCAGCCGAGTCCTCTCCACTGACCATCCCCCTTGCTCGATGCGGTCGACGTCGATCAAGGTGGTGGCCCTTCGGACAATCATCTTGGCGATGAAGTCGATCCCTAACCGGTTGCATGCAAGGCTCGCGCACGTCCGTGTCGACATGATCAAGAGCTCGGCTGTCACAGGATCGAATTTCCGCTTGAGAATGTTGCACTAAAGGTGAGTACAAGGCGTATTTATACTCAGAAATACATAGAAACAACAGATAATCCGAACCTTCGGGAACGCGCTCTTCTAAAATAGATAATCAGAAGTGCGCATAAG